ACTGTGGTTTCTGCTTTCAGCCATGTGTACGTGGAGCTGGGCTCTCAGGGTGGTGTTAGCGCTCATGAGCTTTCTGCATCATCACTACCCCAAAGCTGTGTTGGTGCAGAGCTGAGGCTGACGGACAGTGGCTCCTGCCTTGCCAGGACACCGAGTGCCCATGAACTTAACCCTCTGCAAAGTGGAGACACAGAGTTCGGGGGCACACCAGCCCCCGCCCATCACCTTAACTCTCCCCCGTGGAGGTGGCAAGAGCCCCTGGGGATATGCTGCTACCTGCTGGCTGCGTGAGTTCTGAAAGGGTGAAAGGCCCCGCCTGCTGGCAGGGGGGTGTCCCCATGGGCTTGGCCCAGCCTTGCCAAGGATTTAGAAGAAATCCTGGTTGGTCCCTTGCTCTCACCCCCCGGCCCAGCCCCACTGCTCTGGTAGGGCCCTGCAGATTCCCCCAGCCATACTGTTCCATTGAGGGGCCATGCCTCTCCAGCTGTGTGCAGTGCGACAGCTCCTGCCACGAGCCATCAGAGCTGCTCCTGCCCCCGCTGGCCAGGGGTCTCCCACCCCGGCCTTCGCAGCCTCTGTTGGGCCTAGCAGGAAGGTCAGAGACCTCTCTGCCCCGCGGCCTGAGTCTCAGTGTTGTCAGAACTTGCCCTCCTGTAGGCTGGCGCCCAGAGAGAGCAGCCGGCAACATTCCCAGCACGCAAAGAGCCACAAGCAGAACCCACAGCAGATTGCAGGCTGCCAGCCCAGCTCTGATTGTGGCTGTAAACCTGGCTTCACGGCGCAGGGCTGCTGCGGGGAGGCAGGAGGGCCCCCAGGAAACCGAGGGGCTGGTAGCTCAGCCTGGGAGAAAGAGGAGGAGCCCAGTAATGCCACCAGTGCCTGGGTGTGTACCAGCTCTGGAGCTATCACTGTTCTACCCACAGGCCTCGGCGTCTCACAGCTCATGGCTGGTGTTTGCTCCACCGCAGGTGGTCAGTGGTGTTCCCCTGCCCTAGCCAAGCGTTGTGTTCTCGTCCCAGAGGAGAAATTACTTAGGGAAACCGAGTAGCGGCCCTGGGCCACCGTTAGTGCTGGTGGAGGGAGGTCAGGTGCCATTCATAAAGCTCAGCTCCCCGCGTGGCAGAGAGGGCACATAGGCAGGGGCTTTATTGGCTGCTGTCATCTTGGGGGCGTTGATGCCCAGATCCTCCCAGGTGGGGAGCCGCGGGGAGTGAGCGCAACCCCCAAGTCAAAGCTGTAATTGCTTGGGTCTTTTTAGCTGGAAAACTGACATTTTGGCAACTTTGGAAGCTACTAATTGGCTGTGTGAAGTTAACACTGCTCCAGGCTCGCTAGCTCAGGGGCGTTGTGGGTGGGGAGTGGAAAGAGCTACTCCAGTCCCAGCCTTGTCCAGGAAGGAGGGCTGGAGGGAATGGCACCGTCTATGCCAATCTGAGCTTCTGCCAGTAGGAGGTGCTGTGGGAAAGCCAGCTGATGGGAAAGCCAGCAGCTGCTCCAGCCTCTGTCTATAGGGAACGGCCAAGCAATTGTTGCCGGCACCCAGTGTCGAGAGGCTGAACAACAGCTTGAGTTGGTTCGTTACCCGGTGTGCTACACCCAATAATCACAACAGGGTGGAGAAGCAGAAAAGTTTATTTGCAGCTGCAAAAAGGTACAGGGAGAATAAAATCTCAAATCCTGCATCCAGAGCAGGAAGTTACACAGGCTTTTATACATCCTTTTTCCCAGCATACTTATCCAATAGCAAGCTGCCCCAAGTATCCATATAGCCAGCCAATCCAGTTCCCAGCTAGTTCTCTGATTCTCTGTATCATTTGTTAAACTATACATAAAGCTGCTTTATTCAGCATTGTTCTTCCATATCTGCCCTGTTTGGCCTTGCTTAGTTTCAGGCAGTCTGACTCCGCAGCATATTGTTGCAGATCCTCAGCATAACTGCTGTGTGTGCCTCCAGGCGGGGGGGCCAAGGACACTTGGGCCTAGTACGCAGAGCTGCTGCGAGTGCCTCCAGGCGGGAGGGGGGGGGCCAAGGACACCTGGGCCTAGTGCGAGGGGGCTTCATCGACACTTGTGGTCTTCCATCCCCTCGAGTTACCTAGTGGCCATGCCCCAGTGTCCCCAACACAATGCTGGACTTAAGTCCCAGGCTCCCCCCCGCAGAGGTTGATCTATGGCCCAGCTCTGTGGTATTCACAGCTGTCACTTCCAATAGCAGGAGCATGGGTTGTGGGCAGCACCCACAGCTACCCTGCTGCCAGCCTCTCCCAGAAGCTCACGGCGTAGCAACACAGCCCTGGCTTTGCTCTTGGGCCAATATGATCAGGTGACAGTCTCACCTGGGGCATGAGCCAGAGATGAGACAACACTTTCAGTCCAGCTCCACGGGCCTTGCCGGGACCACATTCTGGTCACCTGTTGGCATGCTATAACACAGGGTGCCAGGCGCGCGAAGAGAAAAGGTACCTGACGCTGTAAGGCCACGGATTTCTCCCCTACCCATCTGGCCTGGAGGCTGCTGACGGGGTTCTGAGAGCCAACGAGGCAGGTTAGGGGCAGGGGCCAGAGGAGTGAAGTGGCAGCAGTCTTGGACCGGTGTGGAACCCAGTGTTTGGGTCTGGGTGAGCTGCAGGGGTCTGGCCACTAGGGGGGGACATGGAGCTGCACGCCACTAGTGCAGGATGTGCCATGGGAGCTGTCCCCAGGGGTGATGCCGTGGGCCTTCGGGGTGCAGTGGCTATGAAGGGAGCCCTTTGGTAGGTGCAGTTATGTTGGGTGTTTGGGTGACTGGCGGTTGCGGGTGAGTTGGGTGGTTGGGTGACTGGCAGGTGTGGGTGTGTCAGGTGGACGGGTGACAGGTGGGTTTGGGCAAGTCAGGTGATTGGGTAACTGGCAGGTGTGGGCGAGTCGGGTGGTTGGGTGACTGGGCATGTTGGGTAGTAGGGTGATAGGTGGGTGTGGGCCTGTTGGGGTAGGTGGCTTGTGGGCCTGTTGTTTGGGCATTCTTTGCCATGGAAGGAATATTGGTCCTTGTCTAGATTCCCGGTTGGGCCTGTAGTTTCAGCTGGCTGCGGGATTTCAAACTGCTGTGTGCTGTTACTGTGTGCCATTAAACAGCTGGCATGCTCTGCCCCAGAGGTGGCTGCATTTCAGCAGAGGGGACTGGGATTGTTTACCAATATTACCATATTGTCAGGACTCTTACTGCAGCACTGGGGCTGGAATACCCCAGCCCTGTAGCATTGCTGCGGCTGGGTGCTCCTGCACTCTGCTAAACTGGGCAATCTCCATAGTCCAGGTGCAGTGGCCACTGTCCCTGGGGAGGAGTGGCTGCGTGTGCCCCCTGCTGGTTGGGCTGGGTGTTACAGGGGAAAGCAGGAGGAGGCTATTGCGGCCTGCTCAGTCGCGGTCTAACGAATGGTGGGTTCCAACACCCTTTTCCAGCCTCTCACTCAATAGGCTGGCCAACCCTTCCCTCCAGGTCTGTGGAACCAGCCTGGCCCGTCTACATACAGCCAGCCTCTCGCCCAGGTGTTCTTACCCTGGCCTCACCACTCAACATCGGCTCTCCAGAGAGCGTCCCAGGGCTGTGGGGCTGGCTGGGTTCGGCTCCCCACTCTGGGCCTTGCAGCCTGGTGCGCGGGGTCACAAGGCTGCTCAGGTTTGGCCTGGCCACCACTCCGTCCTGGTGGTGGGGAGGGCCATCTGGGCCAAGTGTGAGGGAGTGCCACTGCCACCCCTTCGCCAGGTTGCCACGCCGCCCACGGCTGAGCCAAAATTTAGCAGTGCTGCGGCCTTGGAGCTCGCACGCCCAGAGCGGGGAGCCGAGCTATGCCAGCTCCATGGGCTGGGCCAGGAGGGAGCGGTTGGTGTCATGTTCCCCAGTATGTATCGGCCCTTTGGTGTTCCCCCTGCCCTGCAGCTTGGTGACACCCCATCTTCCATATGCGCTGTCCTGTCCCCCCAGCCTGGGCACCCCGATGTTCCCCCCGTTGCACAGCCAGGCTCCTCCCCCACTGCACCCCAGCCTCTTCAGCCCCCCAACTCCTCCCAGCCCCTCACTTTTCCCCCAGGACTTAAACTGCCCCCAACCCAGGAGCCATGTGTGGGAGGTTCTGCTTTTTGGGGAACAATCAGCTTGCCACCCCTCTGCCCCCAGATCCTTCCCCCAGTCCCTCACCGTACCCCTATATCCCTCCGTCCCCCCAGTTCCTTCCCCAGCCTTCCCAGAACCCTTAATTCCTTCCTCACTGCACCCCTCAATCTCTCCACTCCACTTCCAGGCCCTCAAATCCCCCCTAGCCCTTATCCTCTGCCCTCCATGAGCTGGGGGGCTGTTTGTTTTGGGGTGTCTTGACTTGCCTCTCTCTCCAGTTGCAGATGTGTGGGGTGGTCCCCCTGTTCATATCTGGCCAGAGCATCTAGAATCTTTCCTCCAAGCCCCCTTGGATGGACCTCTGGTGTGCATTGGGTCTGGGGGCATCTCGGGGGGGGGGGTGTCTCTGGGGCATGACAAGCCATCCAGGTTTGCAGATAGGCTGAGAACCGCTGCCCTAGCTGCTGTCACACCCTCGTGTGGACTGGCCAGTGCAGGGCCCCTGACCCCTGCCGCCTGGGCCATGCCATGTGTCACACTCACTCCGTGGGGACGAGGAAGGTTAAATACTCCAGAGGAAAGGTTCCCCTGCCTCCCAGTTGCCCAAGGTACCAGCCCAGCGCCCTGCAAGGGGCTGGGCGCTTGTCCTGCTGCACCCGCTTTGCCCTGTGTGTGTTCCCCGGGCACAGTGGGGCGGCATGGGCCTATGTTCCTGCCATGTGAAAGCGAGCCCTCTCTCCCCCGGGCATGGGAGTGAAGCAGGATTCGTTCCTGGCTTGTGACGCAGGAGGGTGAAGGCAGGATCCCAGGTGCGAGGGGTGCCAGTGGTTCTGCCTGGGGGCCGAGGCACCTGTGCCATGTCCCCGGTCTCTCCTCTCTGTCTGCAATACCTGCGTTTGCCGTGCAGGGCCGGCAGCGTTTGGAGCAGCACCCGAGCCCCTGCTGCACAGCGCTGACGTAACCACGGTGCTGGCTGCCTTTTAGAGGCCAGGGACTCGGTTGCCTGGAAACAGCAGAAGATACTCTCCAGCCCGGATCTCAGCCCTGACGTCAAGGCCTGACGCTGCCTGGATGCCTGGCTCGCTCTTTCCAGGCCGCCTGGTGTCATGGAGGGGAGAGGCCTAGCCTGACAGAGGAGTGCCCGGGAACCACAAAGCAAATGGTGAGCGGGGTGTGGCAGAGGGACGGGCAGGCAAGCAGGAGCCCCAGCCCAGCGTAGCCACGGCCACCGGGCTGCTGCTACGGGGGAAAGCCCAGGGGTGCGGGCGTGGGGTGTGGGAAAGCAGCATGGAGGGAAACAAGGGGCGAATGTGGGGAGGGGGTCAACCCAAGGCTCATGATGCTCTGGCTCCCCCAGCCTCCCAGCGCGGAGAGATGGCGCTGAGGTGGGGGAGTGGGGGGGGCACAGTCAGGGGTGGTGTGGACAAGTGAGGCTGTCGGGGTCCAGAGCACGAGATCAGGGGTTCCCAGAGAGTGGCTAGCTTGGCAAAGGATAGCAGGCCGGCTGCACACCAGTCACACAGATGGGCATGGCTTGCCATTTGGGGTGTGGCTTCTTTGTACTTGCTCCCTCTCGTTCCTCCCTCCCTCCTCCCTCATGGCCTCTTCCATCCTGTCTTTTCTTGCCTATCTCTTTATCTTTCTGACTGTTTTCCATCTTTCTTGTTTTCGTTGCTCAGTGGCCAAAGCAGGTCCATCTCACTCCTCCCTTGCCACCTGTTCTCTGTCCCCCACTCTGTTTTCCTTTCCCCTTTTTATCCTTCCTTCTTTTCTCCTAAACTGACTGTTATCTCTGTGGCTTTGGGAATCTGGCTCTTGGAATTTCTCCCTAGAGAAACTGGGCTTAGACCTGGCTCCTAACCACAGGGCCTCTAGCAGTCGCCATGGGAAGAAGAGTACCCCAATGTAGGGAGGGACTGGTGGGTTTGCAAATGTCCCAGAGCACTTGGACGGGGGCTCCTAGCTCTGAAGATATGAAGGGCCAGATTCTGCTCTGCACTACTCCCAAGCCTGTTTTCCCCCCCTCTAAATACAATTGGTCTGTTCTGTGTTTGTACGGGACCTAGCATGATGCTTCATGCCTAGAGCTCTAGGGGCTTCGGGAAATAATAATAAAATAATTGGCATGGCTTTTTTCTGCTTCCCTGGTCCATCACTGTATTGTTAATTAATAACACATTTCTAATAAGTAGCATCTAAAGATGGCAGCTGAGAGCAGGGCCCCATTGTGCTTGGCACTGAAGTACAGAGAGTAAGAGGTGGTCCCAGCCATGGAGAGTGTACAATCTCTGTCAACAGGGTAGACACAAGGTGGGGGAGGGTGTCATTGTTGTATGTACTTGAGAGGGAAAACAAAGCAGCCATTTTTTTAAAGGAGACTCGCACAAGCAGTGTGGCTTGTGTCATTTTTGGCTCCTATGTGGTGCATCCACATGGCCCCAAAATTCATTTTATTCTTTTACACTTTTTCGCTGCTTGGTTTTGCTATTTTCAAAGCTTTGTCTATGGATAACAAAGAATAAGTGGGTACAGTGAAAGATATTACCTCACCCATCTTGTCTCTCATATAGCTTAACAAAGAGAAAGTTAAAAGGTGGCTTGATTACAGCCTATATGGGGAACAAATATTTAATAATGGGCTCTTTGGTCTAGCAGAGGAAGGTCTAACATGATCCAATGGCTGGAAGTTGAGGCGAGACAAATTCAGACTGGCAATAAAGGGTAAATTTGTAACAGTGAGGGGAATTAACCACTGGGGGTCGTGGTGGATTCTAGGAATAAGGGTCGTAGTGGATTCTAGGCATTATTTTGGGGGCAGTTCTCTGGCCTGTGCTATACGGGAGGTCAGACTGGCTGATCACAGTGGTCCGTTCTGGGCTTGGAATCTTTGACTGGCAGGTGACATTACAGACACCTGGCAACATTTTCAAATGCACCTAGGTGACTTAGGAGCCTCAGTTCCATTGATTTGAATGGGGTGTAGGTTCTCAGGTGACACAGATGCTTTAAAAATGTTGCTCCTGCCCCCAATTAATGGAGAGGGGAAGTTAATTTAATGCCAATAGTTTGCTGAGCACTCGCTGGTGGTGTGTGGAGAGCTGGCTGGTCCCACGATGCTGGTTCCTCCTTGCTACTTCCAGCAGATAAATTGCATCAAAAGAAGCTAAAAATATATTGAATGCTTCCCTAATGTCATTCTTCCATGTTAGTGAATGTTGTAGCTGCCAGGGGCCTGGGAGCTGGGCTGGGCTGTGGGGAGTGTCTGTGTGATAGTCTCATGGGGGATAATGAGGGATGAGCACAGTGGAAGAACTAGAATGGAACAGTATTAGCATTTGGCCCACAGTGGGAAAACTGGAGAGAACCTCTGGTTTCAAATGCTGGGTCTTTTGTTAACTCTCAATTCACTCAAACACCTGACAAACTGGTGGGAGAAAAGCTCTTTTGTTAAAGGTCCAGCAGCCCCATCTAGCTAAGGGCTGAGTGAGTTCCCAGTCCCCATCTCTGGCTCCACACAGAGGGACCTCCTGCCCTATAGGGAAAATACGGCAGGCCATTCCTGAGACCCTCTCTCTCTCCTTATGGAAAACAAGCCACAATTCCGGCCACCTGTATCCACTGAGAAGGGTCAGGAAAGGGCACAGGCCCCTTGGTAACTGATCTGGTCTGGACAAGTGTGTGGAGGGGAAGTGCTATCACCGGTTGGCCAGTGGGACCAGGTCAGAGCTGTGCCCAGTGGGCAGGGCACCGGAGGGGAACTCAGCAGACCTGCATTCAGTTTCCTGTTCAGCCACAAGTGACACTGGGCAAGCCTCTTCCTCTCCCCAATCCTGGGGTTTGCTAGAAGCTGGGGATATATCAGTTGGAAGTGATAGAGGAGGAAAAATACTTGGGTGTATTGTTTCAGAGTAGCAGCCATGTTAGTCTGTATCCGCAAAAAGAACAGGAGTACTTGTGGCACCTTAGGGACTAACAAATTTATTTGAGCATAAGCTTTCGTGGGCTAAAACCCACTTCATCGGATGCACTGGTTGATCACAGGATGACTGTGAGCTGTCAATGTGATGCAGCCGTGAAAAAGGCTAATGCAGTCCTAGGACGCATCAGGCGAGGTATTTCCAGTAGAGACAGGGAAGTGTTAGTACTGTATTGTTATACAAGGCACTGGTGAGACCTCATCTGGAATACTGTGTGCAATTCTGGTCTCTCAGGCTTAGGGAAGATGAATTCAAACTGGAACAGGTGCAGAGAAGGGCTACTAGGATGTTGTGAGGAATGGAAAACTTACCTTAGGAGAGGAGACTCAAAGAGCTTGGCTTGTTTAGCCTGACCAAATGAAGGCTGAGGGGAGATAGGATTGCTCCCTATAAATACATCAGAGGATAAATACCAGGGAGGGAGGAGTTATTTAAGTTAAATGCCAGTGCTGACACAAGAACAAATGGCTATAAACTGGCCAGCAACAAGTTTAGGCTTGAAATTAGATGAAGGTTTCTAACTCTCAGAGGAGTGAAGTTCTGGAACAGCCTGCCAAGGGGAGCAATGGGGGCAAAAAACCTAACTGGCTTCAAGACTGAGCTTGATAAGTTTATGGAGGGGCTGGTATGATGGGACTGCCTACAATGGCATGTGGCCCATTGGTGGCTGCTAGCAGCAAATATCCCCAATGGCTGGTGATGGGACACTAGATGGGCAGGGCTCTGAGTTACTAAAGTCTGGCTGGTGGGTCTTGACCACATGCTCAGGCTTCAGCTGATCACCATGTTTGGGGTCAGGAAGGAATTTCCCCCCAGTCAGATTGGCTGAGACGCGGGAGTTTTTTTGCCTTCCTCTGCAGCATGGGTCACTTGCAGGTTTATACTAGTGTAAATGGTGGATTCTCTTTAACTTGGAGTCTTTATATCATGATTTGAGGACTTCAGTAACTCAGCCAGAGGTTAGAGGTCTGTCACAGGAGTGAGTGGGTGAGATGCTGGGGCCTGTGTTGTGCAGGAGGTCAGACTAGATGATCATTCATGATGGTTCTTTTTGACCTTAAAGTCTGTTAGTCTATGAACTGTAACCTGGCGGTAATAGCCCCTCCTCCAAGGGGCTGATGCGAGACCCCATGAATGGCTCTGAGGTGCTCAGATGCTCTGGAGATGAAGGCCATACCAGACACTTTGGTCCCCTCTGCCCTGGCCTGGCAAACTGACCCTTCTGCTCTGAGCTGGGTGTGAGTGAGGTGGCCATGGCCCAAGGCTCTGGCTGTGGCTTATAAACACTAACAGCCTCTTCTCACAGGACATCAAAGGCCAGTACTGGACTGACGATGATTCGGATGGAGACAATGAGTCAGAAGAATTCCTCTATGGAGTCCAGGTAAGGAGCTGGGTGATTGGCTGGCTGCCCCTGGGGGCCACGGTGTGGTGCTGAAACTGGCGTGGCGGTGTTCGAGGCCCTCTGCTGTGTGCCAGGGCAGCGTATCCAGTGGGATTGGCATGGGGAACTTGTTCTGATTGCAGTGGAGGTCAGTGTCTGGAGCTGTGACAGTCTCACTGCATGGCTGGGAGGCAGGTGTGGCGATGCCCCTTAGTCCTCCCCCGCAGCTCCCACTGCCAGGAAATCCTGGGCCTCTGCCAGTGCATCAGAAGCTTGAGCTAAACCCTGGCCCCTGCCCCAGCCCCCACCTTTGTCAGTGCACCTCAGTCCTGACCTGCAGCCCCCACTGCTATATGCCTAGCTGGGGCCCAGTGCACTGATGCTGGCTGTAGCCCCTGTCTGAACTCCCTCCCCTCCTCGCTCCTGCGGTGTGTTGCAGGGGACCTGCGCGGCGGATCTGTATCGACACCCGCAGCTGGATGCTGACATTGAGGCGGTGAAGGAGATCTACAGTGAGAACTCTGTGTCTGTCAGGTGCGTAGGGCGGACGGGACTCAGCCCCGGGCAGCAGCTTCCTCCTGGTTGCCCCATGGGGGCTGCACTGACTGAGCCGCTCTCCTCCCTGCACTGGTGAGCGGAGATCACAGCTTGTCCATTGAGGGCAGCACATTCCCTGCATCTCCTCACTGGGATGCCAGGATGGGGAATACCCAGAGCCCCTGCTTATGCATCAGAGATGGGGAGAGGAAGAGGATTCACACTGGGACAAGAATCTGAGCTGCTAGGATGGGGAGGTGCAGAAAACCCACCTAAAGTGCTGATTGGCGCTGGGATCTGCACCCCAGGCTTATGTGGGAGCTTGTTGCAAAGGGCGGAGATGGTGCCAGCTTTGCTGTGAACCATGTCCTCTTGGTGAGGGTATGAATGGCCCAATCAGAAGTAGAGACAGGTCCAGGCTGCATTTGGATGCGGGGTTGGTCTGGACCTCTCTCTAGTCAGAGGGAAAAGAGTCACAGCCATGAACAGTCTTCAGATATGTTGAAGGTTATAAAGAGGAGGGTGATCAGTTGTTCTTCATGTCCGCTCAAGGTAAGACAAGAAGAAATGGGCTTAATCTGCAGCGAGATATAGGTTAGATATTAGGAAGAGCTTTCTAAGGGTAGTTAAGTGCTGGAGCTTTGTAAGACCAGGCTGGAGAAACCCGTCAGGGATGGTCGAGGTTTGCCTGAACTGAATTTCACTCCCAGGGCAGTGATTCTCAGAGCCATCTGCCTGAATCCTGTCCCTGGCTGTGCAGTGGGGCTGAATCAGCCAGCACCCTCTGGTGCCATGGGCCTGCGTGGGCAGGAGCTGATCCTGAGAACAGAGTGTAGCCCCCTCCCTGAGAGGGGCAAGCACGTCTGGGGAGATGGGAAAGCTGCTGAGCGGGGCCCCCCCGACTCGCCTTCTGCCTAAATACAGGGAAAGATGCAGGGGCTCTTGCTCCCCTGCTCTGAGCAGCAGGAGCCGGGAAGTCTGGAAAAGGGGAGGAGGGAGGGACTAGATTTGGGAGGCATTGTGGTGGCCTGGGGGAGCCTGCTGTTCTTCCCCTGGTGAAGCAGAACAGCAGTTAGCTACGGAAGGCAGGGCCATTTACCCGGGGAGAGGACCAGACGCTTCTCAAATGCATCTAACCCAGGGGCTGGGCTCTCAGAGCCGAGCAGGGGGATCCGTCAGGACTGTGATTTAGTTGGGGCTTGGTCCTGCTTTGAGCAGGGGGTTGGACTAGATGACCCCCTGAGGTCCCTTCCAACCCGGATATTCTATGATTTTATTATATGTGTGGCTGGGCCAGAGGCCCCCGATTCTGCGAGATTTTCTTCCAGACTTGCTAGAGTATACATGGTGTGTCTCCCCTGTGGGGGGAGGGGGCAGAGGCGATGAAAGCTGTGTGCCCCGGGGAACGGCCGTTACAAAGAGCCAGTCCTGTCTCTGCCTAGAACCTTCCCACACCTTTTGCTGGCCTAAGTGCCGCATGGCGCAGGTGGGGCCTGGCTCTGTGCTGGGGTGTTGGGGAGGCAGGCGTTACGCCTGACCCAGGCTGGGGAGTCTAGCCGAGTGTGACTGATGTGCTGGGGGGCTGGGCGAACGCAGAGGCCCAGGAGCGCCAACGGCCATCGATCCCCTCGGACTCACTCCCCTGCCCCTGGGAATTGGCTGGGTGGCTTTGGGGAGCATGGGGCACCGGGCCCTGATTGCGTGAAGCCCCTTGTCCGGGCCAGTAAGGAAGGGAGGTGCTTTGGTCCCCCTGCAGGCATGACCAAGGCAAGGCAAGCTCTGGTCCTGTGGCTGTCCCTAGCCCCTTGTCTGAGACCTGGAAACCTCCAAGGGGTATGGGTCCTTCAGGAACAGGCATCTCTGCTGGACTGGGATTTCATGAGGAGGGCCGGGCCTCAGCCAGGACGTTTGGGGGCCAGCACAGATCTGAGTTTGGGGTGCCTGGGTGGGGGTTGTGGTTTTTCCCAATATAGAGATTGGAGGTGGGCCTGCACTGAGACACCTGGGCTTTCTTCGGGTGTGGCTGTGGAGTTTGCACCCTGCCCCCATCTCTAATAGAGACAGGAACTTGTGCCATCTGGATCCAGATCTAGGAGCTTGGCAGGGGGAGGGGGGTTTCGGACCCACCATTCCAGTTCTCCTCCATCCTGAGTGAACGTGTTTGCCTCTGGTGGGAGAGGTTGAGGCTCTTGGCTCCCGTATCAGTCTAGCCTGGAGAGCCCCTGACCCAGGAACATGCCCCTGCCCATGGGAGCTGTCTGGAGCAGGAGCTGCCTTTTCCTGACGTGTCTGTAGCGCAAGATGGCTCTGATCCCTGAGTGGGGCTCCTAGGTCCTACTGCCATGCAAATAACACCAGCAATCCAGGATGGGATTGTGTCCCATGGGAGCATGGCCGGGATCAGCCAACGGGGGCCTGGCCAGCTGTGCCCGAGAGGGTTGTGGGGGGTTGTGGGCCAGCAGGCACTCTATGGAGGTGAGTAACTGGTTGCTCGCATCAGGGCTCAGTGGAAGGGCTTTGTGATCATTATTACTTATTGGGAGCACCTAGCGGCCCAGGCCTGGCAGAGAGCCCCAGGGTGCTAGGTGCTGTACAGAGAGAACCAATGGACAGACTCTTCCCCAAAGAGCTATGACTTGTGATTTCCTGCTGCATGGGCCAGGCTGGGCCTCGGCGCGGAGTGCAGATGTTTGCTGCTCATCTCAGTGAGAGATCATTGCATCGTTTTCCCACCTACCAAACGTGGTGTGAGTGTTCTGTGGGGGGGCTGCAGGGCCTGTTTGCCATGGTGGGGCTGTGGGAGGGTGTGTGCCGTGGGGGGCAGTAGGGCATGTGCGCCATGGGGGGGCTGTGGGGTGTGTGCTGTGGTGGGACTGTGGAGTATGTGTACTGTAGGGGGGCTGTGGTGGGTGTCTGTGCTATTGGGGGGTTGTTGGGGGGGGGGAGTTGTGCCATGAGGGGCTGTGGTGTGTGTGTGTGCTGTAGGGGTTCTGTGGTGGGTGTCTGTGCCATGGGGGAGCTGTGGGGTGTTTTTGGTATGCCTGTGAACACCCACATTTGTACAACTGGTCTATAAATCCCGTCAGGAGAGGCGGGCTCTCGATGCTCCTGGGCGCTGGCTGGTGGATCCGCCCCAAGGAAACGCTGATCCCAACAGAGCTGAGTGTGTGGCTCTGGCCCAGCCCCTAATCTTGCCGTGTCTCTTTGCAGAGAATATGGGACCATTGATGACGTGGACATCGACCTCCACGTCAATATCAGCTTCCTGGATGTAAGTGGTGCTGGGGCTCTCCGCGGGCGGTTACATGTGCTCCCGCGGCTCGTTCTCCGTAGTTGGACGGTCCCATGCACGACCCTCCCGTGTGGGTAGGAGCTGGCAGTCAGACCCGCTGCCGCCGGACGGACAGCTCCCTCTCGGGTTCCAAGAGGGTCTCGCATTCCCCCGTGGCCGCAGAGATCTGATAAAGCTCTACCTGTCCCTGTACAAACCTGCCCGCTGGTCAGGATGAAAGTGCCCCGTCTCCAGAGGATTTGTGTTTGCAAAAAGCTTGGGAAATACAAACACGCTCGGTCTTAGATCGTTAGAGTTCCTGGGCTGAATCCAGCTGTGCCTACTCAGCGTTTGCTCCTGCTTTACTCGGTGGGTGTAGATGTCCGTTCCCTGTGGACACTCTTGGCTCAGGGTCACAGCGCAGGCAGAGGTAGATAATGGGCAGTTAGTGGCAGGTTTTGCGAGTTACCCGGAGGTTTGGGGGCGCGTAGAAGTGAGATCCCAGAGGTGGGGGTGGGGACGCTTTGAGGTCTGACATAGCTCAGTGCAGAAGGGCTGCTGGGGAGTGCTCAGCCATAGCAGCAGGGAGACGTGGGAGCTCTCCTGCCAGAGAAGCCAAACCATCGCCCTGGAGCAATGACAGGAACAGTCGCAGGCCCCTGGCAGTGGCCACCAGTACTGTGGCCAGATACCGGACGCATGCCGATGCTGCTGCTGAGTGATCGTGCTGATGGGCTATGAGTGCTCAGCCTTTCCCAGGATCAGGCCCTCCTTCGGCTGCCCTCCAGTAAGGAGTGGGAGCCCTCAGCTCTCACTGCCCTTCCCCAGCTCTGCTCTCTCTGCAGGAGGAGGTGTCGACGGCCTGGAAGGTACTACGGACTGAACCCATTGTCCTGAGGCTGCGGTTCTCCCTCTCCCAGTACCTGGATGGACCCGGTGAGTGCCAGCCTACACTGGGGGGACAGAGAGAGCGACAGCAGGGCAGCACCACACCTTGGCCTCAGCAATTCATCTGCTGCCCAGGATTCTGTCCCCTGCCCTGCCCACAAGCAGAGGGCAAGCTAGGGCAGAGGGTGATTGTTCGGACACCCCCTCATCCCTGCTCTGTAGGGAAAAGCATGGAGCATGCTGAGTCAGACTGGCTCAGGGAAAGGGAGCCTTGCATCATGTGCTGAATAGTCATGGCAACATGAACAGCCACAAATAGCCTGTCCAGCATCCCGGCCAAAGAAATGGGTATTCTTTGTGTGGTGTGGGCTAGTGACTAGAGCACTGGACTGGGCCTTGGGAGACCTGGGCTCTATTCTGAGCTCTGGCCTGCTGGGTGACCTTGGGCAGGTCACGTCCTCGTTCTGTGCATCAGTTTCCCCATCTTGTAAAACAGGGATAATGAGGCTGCCCTCCGTTGTAATGTGCTTTGCGATTGACTGAGGAAAGATGCTCTGTAAGAGCTCAGTTTTATTATCACTACACTGCAGAATCCACTGGGAATAATTAACCACGTGATCTGTGGGCCACAATTATCCCTGGCACAATTCTGCAGGCTCCAGGGGTAGCTTGGTCCATCTGTGGTGGGGGTGGCCTTTGCAAACCTCCCTGGACTATGGCATTCCCAGTGGCTATTGGGACTCTGTGGAGAGGCACCTGGACCCATTGCATGGATATCGACCCAATCCCCTGGTTTGCAATGACCATCCAGGGCTTCAGGACTTCCCCGTTCCCAGGCTCTCCAAGGGGATGATGAGAAACAGCCCCCATGGTACCTGCCAGCCCTTCTCCCTGGCCTGGGAGTCGCAGGGGTTGGATTCCCTAGGCGTGGGGGTGTCTGTGCTTCCACTCCTCCAAGTCCCCTGGAAATTGTGCAGCGCTTCCGAGGCGTTGTGGGAGTTCTTGACCTGGAAATTGCCCTCATGTGGAGCAGCCAGTGGGTGTATCCTCCAGGATGACAGGTTGGACAGGGTCAGAGCCTTTGTGGAGGGAATCCATTCAATCTGTCTAAACTTGGGCAGCGATTTGGCTTTCCCCTCCCTATTTGCGGCACCACAGAGTGCGATCTGGCCTAGTTAACACTCAGCTACCAAGGTGTGTGGACTCCAGGAGCTCTGTAGCTCAGCGATCAGAGTGTTTGAAATCAAGGAGAGGGGTGCCTTAGCCAGTCCTTTGACTGGGAGACCACTTGGGAGGAGCCATGGGCTGCTGGTGATTCAGTGGGCAACATTCTGTTCCCTGAGTCAGCCCTGGGCTAGTTGCCTGCAGAGGTGTGGGGGGCCTACTTGTGTTTATGGCCCGTTCTGCAAGTGCCCTACACGGCTCAGTGTGGGTGTGCATGGTCAAGCAGCTGCCATGCTCTACTCAACGGGCCGGGTGAAGGGATTCCTGTCTGTGGGTAAAGTGCCCCGGGAGGAGGGGAGCTTGGTATTGATGTCAGCTGACTCTGATCTCTCTGCAGAGCCATCGATCGAGGTTTTCCAGCCGTCTAATAAGGAGGGGTTTGGATTGGGTCTTCAGCTGAAAAAGTAAGGCCAGTGAGCTTGTCACCAGGACATACAGTCGGGGCGTCTTCCCCTAGGCCAGTGCGATGCTGGGGCCAGAAGGGCTAACACGATCTTGGGCTGTATAAACAGGGGAACCACGAGTAGGAGCAGAGAGGTTACTTTACCTCTGTATCTGGCACTGGTGTGAGTGCTGCTGGAATCCTGTGTCCAGTTCTGTGCCCACAGTTCAAGAAGGATGGTGATACATTGGAGAGGGGTCAGAGAAGAGCCACGAGAAGGATTAAATAATAGTGACAGACTCCAAGAGCTCCATCGATTTAGCTTAATAAAGAGAATGTTGAAGGGTGACTTGATGACAGGCTAAAGGACCTACACAGGAACAAATACTGGCTAAAGGCTTTTACAGTCGAGCAGAGAAAGGTGTAACAAGATCCAATGGCTGGAAGTTGAAGCCAGACAGGTACAGCCTGGAAATAAGATGTACGTTTCTAACAGTGAGGGAATGAACTATTGGAACAATTTACCCAGGGTCATGGTGGATTCTCCATCCCTGGCAATTTGTAAACCAAGACTGGCTGTTTGTCTACCAGCCCTGCTCTGGTTCACACAGGGGGTATCAGGGATGTCCCCTGGCCTGGGTTGTAAGGGAGACCCGGCAAGATGATCACAACGGTCCCTTCTGGCTTTAGGATGCTGGACTCTGTGAGTGCCTGTTAGTGCAGAAGGGGCAGCCAGGCAGGATACAGGGTTGGCAGGTTGTATTTATGTTTATTGGTCTGAATTTCTCACAGGCCTTTTTAATGCAGTGAGGAGCCCTAGCCAGGGCTGAAATGCCATGGGATCTGGACTCTTGGGCTCCCATCTCTCAATGGCTCCCTGTCAAGTTTCCTCCCCGACTCTGAACTCTAGGGTACAGATGTGGGGACTTGCATGAAAACCTCCCAAGCTTACTTTCACCAGCTTAGGTTAAAACTTCCCCAAGGTACAAATTAATTTTATCCTTTGCCCCTGGAATATCCACTGCCACCACCAAACTCTAACTGGGTTTACTGGGAAACGTAGTTTGGACACATCTTTCCCCCCCAAAATCCTCCCAACCCTTACACCCCACTTCCTGGGAAAGGTTTGGTAAAAATCCTCACCAATTTGCATAGGTGACCACAGACCCAAACCCTTGGATCCGAGAACAATGAAAAAGCATTCAGTTTTCTTACAAGAAGACTTTTAATAGAAGTAGAAGTAAATAGAAATAAAGGAATCACCTCTGTAAAATCAGGATGGTAGATACCTTACAGGGTAATTAGATTCAAAACATAGAGAATCCCTCTAGGCAAAACCTTAAGTTACAAAAAAGACACACAGACAGGAATAGTCATTCTATTCAGCACAATTCTTTTCTCAGCCATTTAAAGAAATCATAATCTAACACATACCTAGCTAGATTACTTACTAAAGTTCTAAGACTCCATTCCTGGTCTATCCCCAGCAAAAGCAGCATACAGACAGACACAGACCCTTTGTTTCTCTCCCTCCTCCCAGCTTTTGAAAGTATCTTGTCTCCTCATTGGTCATTTTGGTCAGGTGCCAGCGAGGTTACCTTTAGCTTCTTAACCCTTTACAGGTGAGAGGATTTTTCCTCTGGCCAGGAGGGATTTTAAAGGGGTTTACCCTTCCCTTTATATTTATGACACTCCCTGAGGCCAGAATGTTCCACAGGAGACAGACATGAGCACAAAGCCCAGGGCACTAGGGTTCCTTTGGATTGCTGAGGGGTTTGCAGGGCGGGAGCCATGGTGCTGTGCTGTGACCAGAGCGATTCGCCAGGGGACGGATGGCACAGGGGATTGGCAAAGGGCTGTGGTGCCATGCACCTGTCCATGCTCCAGCCCACGCTGAGTGGAGACTGTCACCATCTGGTGGAGAGCCATGCAAAGTGAGCTGGTGAGCTCCAGTCACTGCTTTAGATGAGGTCCCTGAATTAGAGGAGGTCCCTGATCCCCATCAGACCTGACCCCTAGTAATGTTCCAGGTGTGGCGTTCGTGCCCTTCCCTATAATCCGAGCGCTGGCTGGCTGGCCTCATCCGGCCTGGGAAGTCACCTCTGGCTCTTCCCCCCAGGATCCTGGGAATGTTCACATCCCAGCAATGGAAACACCTCAGCAACGATTTCCTGAAGACCCAGCAGGAGAAGCGGCACAGCTGGTTCAAGTCGAGTGGCACTATCAAGAAATTCCGAGCGGGCCTCAGCATCTTCTCTCCCATCCCCAAGTAAGGCTCCCGCTGCTGACCTGGGACTGTCTCCGGCCCAGCTCCCTCCCTGAGCACGGCTCTCTCTGAACTGTGGTCCCAGGGTCGTCCCCTACCCCCGTCAGTTCCTACTCTGCGTTTAGTCTGTCAGTGTGTGTGTGGTGGGACTCGCATGCTGCCTGGCCCTCTGCCACGCCCACAGGCTGCCGGGGGAGATTTCATTTGCTGCCTCGTCAGCCCAGGAGCCTCCCTGGGCACTGTGCCGGACAGGAGTCACTGCCATGCTCTGTGCTGCAGTTTGCCCACCTGTGCCGGGGTGCTGGCTGGGCTGGTGCTGTGTCAGTGCGTTCGTTGGTGCTATCCCTGACGGTGTCAGGCCTGCCTCTGCTCTGCTCTTTGGGATGTCCTGTGCCAGGCAGGCTGCGCCAGGGCGCTAAAGGCCAGCGAACTGTGGACAATGCTCAGCCATCCCCTCCTTATTGCTGGGGGGTGGGTAGAGCTCACCAGTGGCTCCCCGGACCCCGCAGCCGGTGAGTCTTGCAAGAGGGGGAGGCACAGGCTGCCTCGGTGGCACTCCCAGCTCCTCTTGGCCCGGGAGCAAGCGACTGACACTGGGAGCATGCTCAGGCCTCCACAGGCATGCAGGGGCACTGATCACCAGGCCCTGGGGCTGGCAACCCTTCTTGCTGCTCTCCCCCCCGAGCCAGCACTTTATGACCCCTGAGCTGTGCCGCTGGCTCTGTCTGCGCCGGACTGGCACAGGCCTCCAGACGCCGCGCTGCTCTCCCCTTGCCCATACTGCGTTACTCCCCACCCCGCCTTGTCCCCGTGCGCTGGCTGGCCCCCTGGCTGGCTCATGGCTCCCTCTGTCTCCCCAGGTCTCCCAGCTTCCCCATCATCCAGGACTCCATGCTGAAGGGCAAGCTGGGGGTGCCAGAGCTCCGCGTCAATCGCCTCATGAACCGTTCCATCTCCTGCACCATGAAGAACCCTAAGGTGGAGGTGTTCGGCTACCCCCCCAGCACCCAGGCAGGTGTCGCCCCATTCAACATCCTGGTGGGTTTCCTCTGCGTCCCCCTGCCTTGGCTCTGGGTGGGTTTTGCTCACACTGATCTGGAGCGCGCTCCCCCTGCTAATGGTCATGCAGGTTTGCCTCCCACTCTTCCTCACTTCAGCATCTGGGGGGGTTCCCCGGGGCACAGGCCGGCTCCCCCGCCATGGTCACCAGGCAGCCTGTTGAAACGAGGCCTGTTCAGAATACACTGTGCGTGGCAGCAGAGCTCCTGGCCCTGCTGGGAAGCAGCCGGGCAGCTCCAGCAGATCCTGGGGCCAACAGGGATAACAGCAACCTGGTTTGGCCTGGCATCTGCGCTGCCTGGAGCGTACCATTCCTCCATCTCTCCCGGATGGGGCTGCTCTCCTGGGGACGTGTGGCTGCACTCGGGCTGTGATAGCACGTGCTATTGCTTGCCAGCACCCCGCCGTCTGGGAGCTGGGAGCCCTCCCTTCTTGCCAGCGGAGCAGCCAGGCCCTGAGTCAGTGTCCTAATGCACCCTTTTCCTGGGGCATGTCTTCACTGGGAACTCAGCAGCAATGATATGACGGGCCCCTCAGCCGAAGCCGCCTCCTGGAGCGTGGCCCTTCTTCCCCCGGGACACAGGCGCTGGCTTTTATTTTCCCCCGGGGGATGCTCCACCCTTGCTTTGCCCCTGGCCCTGCCCCCACTCCACCCCTTTCCCCAAGGCCCTGCCCTCGCCCCACGTCTTCCTGCCCCCGCTCCATCCTTTCCCCCGAGGTCCCCGCTGCTTGCTGCTCTCTGCCCTCCCCCAAGGGCCTCTGCCAGCGGCTGAACAGCTGGTTGGAGGCCCCACCAAACAGCTGATCGGTGCTGATAGTGCTGAGCACCCACTAATTTTTTTTCTGGATGCTTCAGCTCCGGAGCATCCAGAGAGTTAGTGCCTATGCGCCAGGACCTCCTCTGGCTTAGCTCCCTAGTTCCCTTGGCCCGGGAGCCACTCTCCCCTCCCTTCTGCTGAGGGTGGCGAGAAGCAGGGGCAGTTAGCAGAAGAGCTCTGCCCCGGGATGGGGTCTCAGTGCACCCTGGCACAGTGCCTGCTGAACCACCCCAGGTGAATATCACCCCTTGGAAGGGTGCAGTAAGGTACTGGGGTAGATGAGGAGCAGAGCCCTACATCCTCAGCCATCTGGCATGAGATCCCATGCGGCAAAGGGGAGGGTGAGCGCAGAGCCCTCTGGGCTGCTCCCCCCTCTGCCAGCCTACACTGAGGGGCACGATGGCCCATGGGCCAGGAATGGAGGGTAACGTGGCTGGGTCGGGTTTGTGTGCCCTCTGCAGGTCGGCGGCCATTGCAAGAACATCCCCACACTGGAATATGGATTTCTCGTCCAGGTAAACCACGGTCGCTAACTGGGGGCCCCTGAGAACTCCTCGCCTGGCCTCTCCTCCTGCTTGCCCCCCTCCAGCCTGGCCCCTTTCATAGGTGGCTGCTGCCTGCTGGGAGAGGCCCAGGTGTGCTAGGCCCTGTAGACAGGGCCTTCTTGCTCTCGACGCTTGTCTTGGCTAGGAGCAGGGTCAGGCTTAGCTACCAGGAGCCAGCTGGGCCAACCTCACTTCATTGCCTTTCCCTTGTGTGGATGCAGGTTAATGCCTTGAGCTCCATTTCTCCACTCGACCTAAACTCAGCTGAGCTCCCAGGTGAGACCAGGCCTCAGGCTGGGTTGGAGGGTGAGGGCCCTCTCCGGTGGAGGAAGGGTCTGTTCTGGTGGAGGAATTCAACCTCCGGGGTGTCAGTCAATAGGGAAAAATCTTTGATTAACCCCCCTCCATGGGGCCAGTCCTGGCTTTGCAAGGCTACAGTCCTACTCTCATGGATGTTCCTGGCACATGGGCAGCCCACAGGCTGCTGTCTTTGGGGACAGAGCCCCATCCGCAAGGCCATAGCGTGGTCTGTTTGCACTCCTCCCCACGGTGTCTGTGATGGTGTTACCGTCACAGGACAGGATTCCCTCAGCCAATAAGGGATTCCCCTGCCAGGCCTTGTCGTCACCAGGAGAAAAGAGGTGTTTGTAACACGTTAGGTAACATGACCCCAGAGCCTGGAGCGGCTCTTCCCAGTGCGCTGGGTGTGGTGGGTCAGAATCCTCAAAGGTCCCATCTCTGAACCCCTAGCTCTCCCCCCAGATCTGTGGGTTGCAGGGCAGCTCTCCACCCTGCTGTGAGCTGGCAGCATGGGGGGCTTTGTTCCTCAGAGCTGAGCCAGCAGAGCTGAGCATTTCCTAGCGGACCGTTTGAGGCCTGGGGAAGGGCGCACTGGTCAGCATTCTTCTACCCAGTGCTGGCTGCTGGGAACTCTCCGCCTGAGCCATGGTTCCCACATTAACACAGGTATCTGGACTGACACGCAGCCTCCAGGGAGCGAGCTGGCCACGTGTTCAGCCCTGCCCCGTGTGGTACACACCTCCAGGGAGCCGAGACATGACCCTGCCTAAGCAGGGCCAGCTCTGCTGTTTTGCGCCCGCCCACACCTGTTCTGATCCTGCCCCTTGAGTTGAGAAGTGGTCTGGTCCTAGCTCCGATAGAGGCACATCCTGGGGGTAGCTCCATGGGAGGTGGTGAATTCTGCCCAGGCAGGAGCCCAGGTCAGCAGGTGGGACAGGACAGAGACAGCTCAGTGCTAATAAACGGCCTGGACCCGCCGTTTGCCCCGGGATGGGAAGTGTTGCCTGGTTTGGAGTATGCTCATCCTGTGGCTCAGTGTGGAGAGGGTGGCTTGTGCTGGGGTGCGTGGATGGTCCTGGCTCACTACGGCCTCGCTGCACAGATAATGAAGTATGCAGAGCAGCGGATCCCCACCCTGAACGAATACTGTGTGGTATGCGACGAGCAGCACGTCTTCCAGAATGGATCCATGCTCAAGGTACAGAGACCTCCAGGCCAGCATCCCCTGGAGCACGTCTGTGGTGGGGCTGGTCACCAAGAGGGGCCATGGGGACGGGTGGAGGCAGGTCAAGTGCTGATGTCCTTTGGATTGGCTGGCACTGGGAGCGCTCCTCGTTGCCCCTTTGTGCTGCTGGAGGCAGCAAAGGGTGGAGCCCTGGCGGCTGGGGCTTTTACTAACCTGCCCCAGTAAAGGATGGAAACTGGTAACTTGGAGGCGGGGTAATGAGGCAGGCGAAGAGAAGTGCAGTGATTGGTGGAAGGGGATGTGGGAGGAGCCAGGGCCCTTTAAATTGTGCCCAGCACGCACCCCACCCCACTGAGGGAGGTTTGCCATGGTTCAGAGTGGCTGTAGCTGGTGGCAGCCCTTTGGCAGTGCTATCTTCCCTCACTCCATGGGCTGCTGTGTGCCAGGGGCACAGCCAGCGATGCAGGTGGGTTTGATCCCAGTCTATGATCACAGGGGTGCTACCAGGAGCCAGCTGGGCCGGCCTCATTGGCCTCCCCTGCCCAGCCCAACTGTCCCCTGGGAAACCCCCCAGTCAGAGAGAGACTGTCCCCACATGCTGGGATTCTAGCGGGTAAGTTCAGCATTGCTCCCTGCCCAGCATCTCGCACCCACAGGACCCTCTTCGCCAATAGCCAGGCTATGGGGGGGTGTGTGCGGGCTTTGCTGCCCCTCCCCCCTGGAGTGCAGCAGCTGCATTGTGGTGGTGATGTGTGTGCGGGGGAGCAGAGCCTGTTCTGCTGCTGCCCCCTGCTGGCTGACTCCTAACTAGCATGGGAGCATTAACCACATGCCACTTGGCCCCACCCAGCTGACAAGAAGGCAGAGCGTAGGACGAGGAGTCGGGGCCCTGGGTTCTAATCCTGTCTCTGCCGCAAATGGCTGTGTGACCTGGGCCAGTCTCTTCTAGCAGACTTTTCAAAAGTGGCCTCTGAGTTTAGGTGCTTCAGTTTTTGGGTGCCCAGCCTGTGTCCCTTAAGCCTGCATCTTGGGGTGCTGAGCACCCCCACCTCCAGCTGAACTGAAAGATTGGTTGCCCTGTATCTCTGAAAATCCAGCCCAAAGAACCTCAGACTGAGGACTTAGCAACTGATCACTCAAAGTTAGAGGGCATTCTTGAGAACGCTGGCCTCAACTGTACCCAAGCCTCAGTTTCCCCACCTGTCATAAGGGGATGGCGCCTCCCGGGGAGTGTGAGTGCTAATGAGGGAATGTGTGCTGAGCGCCTTGGATGGCTGGTGCTGGAGCAGGGAGGTGGCCTGTTGTTGTGACATGTAGCTGTAGCTGCTTCTGTGTCCAAGAGCCTCAGAGCGGTGCTGGAGCTGCATGGCCGGCTTTAACAGAAACAAAAAATATTCCCAGAATGCACCAGGGTCTCTATGGGAACAGGTTCCAGGGGGCAAATGCTGCAGTGCCAACCCATCTGGGTTGCTAGGATGCCTGGGGCTGGAGCAGGCTTGCTCCCTGCGGTACCCGCTCCTGGCCAATGGTGAATGACTCCAGTGCTGGGGTCAGTGTGGGAGGCTGGGGCATGGGGCTCTCTCTGACCCCCCATGTCGCTCTCGTCTCCCTGCAGCCGGCTGTGTGCACGCGGGAGCTGTGCGTCTTCTCCTTCTACACCCTGGGGGTGATGTCTGGTGCAGCGGAGGAGGTGGCCACGGGAGCAGAGGTACCAGCACTGAGCAGAGGACATCAGCAAGGGCACAGGCAGAGAGTTGGGGGGCGGGGAGCCCTGCGCCCGGGGGAGAGCTGTTAGGGAAGGAGCAGAGTGATGGTGTCACAGCAATGCCATGGCAGGTGAGAGTCCCTCGGTGTGCCTGCTCCCCTGACAACCCTAGCCCAGAGGGGTGCTGAGCTGAGCATCTCGCCCCGCCTCGGCTATAGCGGATACCTCTCCGCACCCGATCAGGGCCCTGCTTCCTGGCAGGGCTGGATCTCGCATCAGGGCCTGATCTCGCACTGGGGCAGTGGTGCTTCCTTCCCGCCCTCCTCCTCCTCTCAGTCGCGCTCTCCCCGGCCCAGGTGGTGGATCTGCTTGTGGCTATGTGTCGGGCTGCCCTGGAGTCCCCACGCAAAAGCATCATCTTCGAACCGTATCCCTCTGTGGTGGACCCCAGCGACCCCAAAACACTTGCCTTTAACCCCAAGGTAAGCGCCTCATCCCACCGCTGCGAGCGGGGCCCTGGGCTGCTCCTAAGACCACGGCGGCGAGCTCCAGCTGGGGGCGCGACTCCCACTTGGGAGGGTCACTGAGCCGGGGTGTGGCGGCCTGTCCCTTCTCACGACAGACCCAGCTGCTGCCGCCTGAGGCCGGGGAGATGCCAATTGCTCTCCTGGAGCTGGGCTGGCTCGGCAGGGCCTCGTTTTGCTGTCAGTCAAGAAGGCAGTGGTGACCCCAGGCCATTTATACCCAGACATTTCCAGGTGTGACTACGCTCCAGGGGGAGGAGATGTTACCAGAGCTAGGAGACAGACGTCCTCCTCCCACACTCCCATTGGGTTCAGGGAGTGGGGCGACTCTGCCCGGGTGCGGGAGTTGGACAGAGGGACGTAGGAATTGCCAGAGCAGATCTCAACAGTCTAAGCTCCTGCTGACAGCCACCGGCATCCATGCTACCAACCTTCGGGGGGGAGGGATAGCTCAGTGGTTTGAGCATTGGCCTGCTAAACCCAGGGTTGTGAGTTCAATCCTTGAGGGGGCCATTTAGGGATCTGGGGCAAAAATTGGGGATTGGTCCTGCTTTGAGCAGGGGGTTGGACTAGGTGACCTCCTGAGGTCCCTTCCAACCCTGATATTCTATGATTCTATGAACCTGCTGTGGCCCAAAGCCAGACTCCGGAGCATCCCCGTGTGAATGGGCGGGGATTGCGTCTGATCCGCCGCCCACTCACCCTGTGGCTGCAGTGCAGTTACGATTTGCACTGGTGCAACTGGGCGATGAGGCCAGGGGTTCCCTTGACAGGACTCCAGGGTCCCCAGGGAGCTCTGACCCCTGGCATCAGGCTGGGGGCAAGGAGGACAGGCTGGGTACGTGCCCGTGTGTGCTGTGCCTGACAGCTGTCTCTTTCCCTTCCCACACTGCAGAAGAAGAACTATGAGCGTCTGCAGAAGGCCCTGGACAGCGTGATGTCAATCCGGGAAATGACCCAGGTATGGTAGCTGGTGCTACCAACACTGGGCCTGGCCTCAGGATAGACCCAAAATCCAGGCCCCTCTCTGATTCTCTCAGCCCATCCTGCCCCTCAACCCTCACCCAACGGGGTGGCTGCTTGTGTCCCCTTGCTGCAGAGGAGGTGACATTCTTGATGTTCATTATTACTCCTAGGCCCGCAGCACTAGAGGTCCCAACTGAGATCCAGGCCTCAGCATGCTATGCGATGCACAGCCCCAGAGAAAGAGCTAGGCTCTTTCCCAAAGAGACATGACCTCTCCAAGGTCAGGGGCAGGGCTGGGAGTACAGCCTGCTTCTCCTGAGCCCCAGGCCAGCGTCCCAGCCCCTAGGGAGCCAGTGTCCTAGCCACGGGGCACTACTGGTGAGCCAGGTTCACTTTCCTTTGTCACCCTCCTCTCCCCATGGAAGGATGTGGGCTGCAGACGCTGGTGACAGAAAACCCAGTGGCCTTGGCGCTCCGACTTAGTTATGTGACTTTCTGACTGAGATGCGCTCCTTAGTGTCCTGTGCCAGGCCCCAGCGTTAGCGCTGCCCTGTTCTTTGCAGGGCTCGTATCTGGAAATCAAGAAGCAGATGGACAAACTGGACCCTCTGGCACACCCTCTCCTGCAATGGTAAGTGCTCCATGTCCTGCTGGGCTGTGGAAGAGTGTGGGCAGAGGTCGGCGAGGGGCTCATAGGATGGATGAAATGCCAGGGGGTAAAAGCACCGGCTCACCGAGGGGACCCAGTGACACTGCCCCTGGGATGAGCAATCTGGGAACAATGCGGGTTTGAGCTTCCCAGGCAGCATAGAGGCACAGTCCCCAGGGCACGGAGCGTCAGACCCCATAGTTAGTGATGTTGTAGAAGCATGACTCTCTCTCTGGGCCAATATCAGATGTACTGCCCAGCCTCTGGTTCTCCCATGCCACCATGAGTGGCTAAAAGCTGTGCTGCTTCTCACACAAACAGCCCCTGCTTGGCCCACTAGGGCAGCATGGGTCCCACGGTGGGCAGATGGGCTGGAAATTTGTCATCGTCTCCGGCCCATTGCCAGAAACAGAGGCACCAATCCTGCAGGACTGGAGCCATGCTATCTGTGGGTTGGGTGCTGGTTTGAATTGCTAGTGAGCCTTGAAAGGCAACAGTTGAGAGGAAACACTGTTCCCCCTGAGATCATGTGGCATGGCTGGTTCGTTTTTCTTTTTCTGAAGATTTCAGGACACCCCACTGGATGGGCGGGGGTCTGACCTGCCAGGGCAGGGGGTGGGACACCATCCTGGATGGGCGGGGGTTTGACCTGCCAGGGCAGGGGGTGGGATGCCATGCTGGATGGGCTGGGGGTCTGACCTGTCGGGGCAGGGGGAGGGGCGCCACGCTGGATGGGCTGGGGTTCTGACCTGTCGGGGCAGGGGGCGGGACGCCACGCTGGAGAGGTTGGGATCTGACTTGCCAGGGCAGGCGGCCGGACACCATGCTGGATGAGCTGGGGTCTGATTCAATATGTGAAGAGTAGCAGCCGTGTTAGTCTGTATTTGCAAAAAGAAAAGGAGTACTTGTGGCACCTTAGAGACTAACCAATTTATTTGAGCATAAGTTTTCGTGAGCTACAGCTCACTTCATTGATGAAGTGAGTGAAGTGATGTGAAGAGTGTGGACTGGTCTGATCTAACATGTCCTAACCCCGCAGTTCTAACGGCCTCTTTCTCCTCCCTAGGATAATCTCCAGTAACAGATCTCACATTGTCAAGCTGCCTCTCAGCAGGGTACGTGGCCGCTCCCCTTTCAGGGTACGATCTCTTTCCTTTTGGGTCAGGCTGGCTGCGTGCCACCATCCCGCTCCCTCCTGCATGCCCAGTGAGCGCAGCCCTGCTCCGTATTGCCACAGTGGGCCGGAGCTTCCTTAACCCCCATTCCCAGCACAGCTCCCCGGCCCACGTGGCTGGAGCCACCTGTTGTGGGGCTCAGAGGACCAAGGCCAAGCATGATGCAGAATGCACAGAGCCTGCTCCCCAAGAGGGAGCCTGTGTGCAGATGGCAGGAGATCTGCCATGTGGCAGGAAGCAAAGGAAGCCCCCCCTCCCACTTCCCCTCAGTGGTAACTTCAGCAATGGGAAGCCGTAAGTTCCCTTCCCTCTACAAGCTCAGCTGGTCCTCAGACCTGTAACCACCCAACCCCTCCCCTCTCTCCACCACTGGGAGCTCCTCGGCCTCTTTGACGCTCCGAAGCCTCACCTACCAGCAACCCCCCAGCTCTGCCCATGAGCAGCCCTTACCGTGAGTGTGACTCAGCCTTGCGTCAGGCTGGCACCCTTCCCATCCTGGGGCCTGCAGTCCTCTGATACAAGCTCCCCGTGCCCCGAATGTGTCTTGTTCCCTAAGGCTCTGCCTGCACATGGGGGCTGGGGCTCTGGGGTGGGGACTCCCATCCGGTGGGACTCTGAGTATAGCTCACTCGCTCCTAGGTCACTGGTAACAGCCTGCAGGCCCTGCCGAGAGGGGCAGGACTGGGAAGGTGAAAGGCTCCATCTGTGGCCATTGCTGACACTAGCCATGCAGGGAGCAGCCTTGGTTTGCTTCCACCCCACCAGTCACTGCTTGGCACCCAGTGTCCCTGAGGTGTAGAGAGGTCTGCACCATTGGGCCCTGTGCTGGCTCTTGGAGATGGTGGTGGGGTTGGGATGGGGGTTCAGCGTGGGGATGGACTTCCCTGCATGATCTCTCTCTTTTATCTCTCTCCTGCTCGGTCGCTTGCTCCCTCCCCTTTTTGCTGGTCTGTTTCCCTTGGTAGCAGCTGAAATTCATGCACACCTCACACCAGTTCCTTCTGCTGAGCAGCCCCCCGGCCAAGGAAGCCCGGTTCCGCACAGCCAAGAAACTCTACGGGAGCACCTTCGCTTTTCAGTGAGTCCATGGTGGGATGGGGCCCTTCCCCTTGGGGCAGCTCCCCACTGCTTCTTCCTGGGGGCTCCTGACCGGCTGGCACTGCTGCCCCTGGGTTTCCCTTCGCTGCTGCATGTCAGAAGAATCCCCGCAGTGGGGCCTGTCCCTGCTCTGGTAGCGATGCCCTGGCAGAGCTAGTGCCCAGAGAGAGCGAGCCAAGGCCCTTGCTTCAGCAGCTGAGCAAGGTACCCAGCCAGGCAAGAGAGTCTGAGTGTACCTGGGGGAGAGCTCTGGCTACAGGCAGGCTGGGGCAATGGGGTTGCTTCTAGATAAGGAAACTTAGGGCCTGATCCAAAGTACATTGGAGTCAATGGAAAGACCCCCATTGGGCTTTGGATCAGACCCTGTGAGCCCACCTGGCAGTGGAATGGTGGTGCTGTGTGCTAGGGAGGGGAAGGACCCTCTGTGTCAGATCAGAACCAGCTTGATCCATTGCCAGAACAGGGACTCCAGCCCCAAAGGGGCTGGCAGCTGACAGGGACCAGCTAACTTGCATTATTTTCTTACCCTGGGTGGGCAGAGGCGTGGCCAGGCCCAGATGGAACAGTGGGGGCTGCTCTTCTGAGAATCCCAGCCTCTGCCTCAAAGCCCATAGGTGCAGAAGGATCCAAACTTACCTGCACTAAGTGGGACCTTCCTGTGGCTGCCCGGCTAAGTCCGTGTTGTGTGGCATGGCACAGCTGGGCATTCTGGGGCATTGTGGGGCTGATGAGGTAGCACTGGGAGGCCGCCTGCATCCCCAGGGTGTGTGAGTAGGGAGCTCCTTGGGAAGGCTGATGGCTGGGTCTGCCGAAGCTCTGTCTCCATTCAGCCTGGCCCGCCATCCTGCCCAAGGCTCAGGGCCATTCAGAAGGGGAGGCTGGGCATGGCCCAGCAAAGGAGAGAGCTCTTGAGACTTTACAAAGCCGTGTCAGCCCTAGGGGAGGGTGTGTCTGTGGGTCTGACTGCCCTGGAGCAGGAGGTGTGAGTCCCAGCTGGCATGGACATAGTCGGGCGTAGCGGGAGGGGCTAGCTGCCTTGGGGATGAGGCTAGGCTATTCTCTGGGATTGTCCTCGGGGTGGCCAGCCTCTCTTGGTGCCCGCACCGCCGCAGACACGGCGGCGTTTAGCGCTCTCATGGGTGCGTCTGTTCCAGCTGGAAGTTCCACCTCTGGCCTTGCCATCCTGGATGTGGGTGTATGGGAGAGAGGGAGGCCCCGGGTACTGCTCTGGTAGCAAGGGAGTGGCTGGCTGTATGTGTGCTAGGTGCCAGTGAAGGAGTGGAGGGCGGGTGCGTGAGGGGACAGGTATGAGCAGGGTGTGCACGCAGGATGGCAGCGCTCGGCTGGGCTGTGTGCCTGACGTGCTGGTTCCTTGCTCTTACAGTGGATCTCACATTGAGAACTGGCATTCCATCCTACGCAACGGGCTGGTCAATGCGTCCTACACCAAACTGCAGGTAACGGTCTGGTGCCCGCCCTCTGCCAGCCCTCTGACCTCATGGGCTGGGTGTGGCCACGTGCAGGTGACCTAGGCTGTCCTGGGCATTGAGGGAGCCAGTGGGTCTGAGATCCGGGCTCTGGCCTGGCTGGCATTAGAAGAGAGCCCAGCTTTGTGGGGCAAGATTAACCCCTGCAGTGCTGGGCTGCAGTGAGCACCAGCAGCAGAGTCTCCCATCAGCGGGTTGTGCCTGGGGGAGACCTGGATTTTCACTCACAGCCCTCATGGGGAGGGTCCCATGCCCAAGGCCATGCCCTCTCCTCTTTCCACTGCAGCTCAGCTCCCAGCAGCCAACTCTCCCAAACCCACCCCGCTCCCAGCAGTGCCCAGGCACTGGCTCTGCAGGCTCAGCTGCTCCTGAGTTGGACAAGCAGACAGAAAAGTAGTTGGACAGACTGACTGGCGGGATGGGTGGGAAGATGGATAGACAACATGCAGGGGGGGGGCCTGCAGCATGGGGCAGATGGACAGACTGACAGCGGTGGGAAGGACCTGCAGTGTGGGGTGGATGGACAGACTGACAGGCGGGGACAGGGCCTGCAGCATGAGGCGGATGGACAGACTGACAGGTGGGGGAGGAGTCTGCAGCGTGAGACAGATGGACAGACCGACAGGCAGGGGAGGGGTCTGCAGCATGGGGTGGATGGACAGACTGACAAGCGGGGGAGGGGCCTGCAGTCCAGCCAGTCTGTGCCCTGTTGGTTTCTCCCTGCCCTGGCCCTGGGCTGGCGGATGCAGCGCCTCCTGGGTACAGGCTCGCACCGTCTGCCTGTGTTGCTCACGCTGGTGTTTTCCTGCAAGCTGCATGGAGCAGCCTATGGCAAAGGCATCTATCTGAGCCCCATCTCCAGTATTTCCTTTGGATACTCAGGTAAGAGGCTCTCCTCTCTCCCCGTCTGTCTGTGCTCCCAATGGCCCTGGAGAGCTACACGTTCCCCTCCATGCCCTGTTGCAAACCCAGCCTGGGAGGGACACTGCTGGGCTGGGGCACTTCTGGGCTCCCTGGGTAAATGGCTCGTGCCATTTGCACACCGCTCAGGCTGGGAGAAGCACGTGCAAACAGCATTTTCCAGAAGCCATGTGTATTAGAGAAGGAGAATGCAGCTCCCAGGGACACCTGAGCGGGGTTTCCCAGATGGGTGACCCTGCACAGCCTGCCCTTCAGGACTCTGGTCTGGTCTCTGGTCGCATCTGCTTGATGCGAGGCCTATCTGCACATGTTGCTTCCAGCCAGAGCTGTGTGTGATTGGCATGAGTACCCCCAGGCCCTGCTCCTCCATCACCGCTGTGCTCCAGGCTGTCCCCCTCAGGGCTGTTGCCAAGAGCAGCTCTGTCCAGGGTGGCTGGGCAGGGTGTGCTGGTGGCATGGAGGCAGGTTTAACCTGTGGGGGAGCTGGTCCTGTGGCCTCCTGGGATTAACCCTGGCTCATGGCCTCCCTTCTCAGAGACATGCCTGCTTGGTGGTGCCAGCATGCCTGCTTTGTGGTGTGTTTGTGTGTGTGCCCGTCTCAGCCATGGCAGTCCCCACACATCGCACTGCTCCCTCATTCTCCCCTCCCCACCTCTGTAACATGCTCTGGGATGTCCCGCAGCCATTGGCTGGGAGTGCCAGATCTTGCCTCGGTCTGACGGGGTGATGGGTCTTCTCTGATGGGAAGTCCCTGGCTACATGGTTATCTGCTGTCACAGCCTGGTACAGTCGGGAAGGCAACTCTGCCAGCCTGTTGGGGGTCCTGGTTCTTCTCTAGCATTGCATGGCACTGATTTTGGGCAGCAGCCTCCCATGTCTGCCATGGGAAGGTGCCGTACATGTCTCGGGAATGGATGGACAATGAATGGCTCTCTGCAAAGCGTCTGCTTCCTGGGGAAAGCTTTGATTTTTCATCCAAAACCCAATTACCTCCTGGAAGCTCTAGTTCAGGCACCTCGTGTCCCCTTTCTCCTCTCTGGACCAGGCTCCCCAGACAGATTTTATTTCTCATGATGCATCACCCACCTCTCCAAGAGGGGAGACCGTGGTGAACAATGGGAGATGTAGTCTGACCAGGGGGTTTAGCCCATAGAACATAAGTATGACTATACTGGGTCAGACCAAATGTCCATCTCACCCAATATCCTGTCTTACTGTGTGCCAGGTGCCCCAGAGGGAATGAACAGAACAGAGCAATTATCAAGTGATCCATCCCCTGTCGTCCAGTCCCAGCTTCTGGCAGTCAGAGGTTTAAGGATGCCCAGAGCATGGGGTTGAGTCTCTGGCCATCTTGGCTGATAGCCATTGAGAGACCTGTCCTCCATGAACATGTCTAATTCTTTTCTGAATCCAGTTATTTTAGCCTTCACAACATCCCCTGGTAATGAGATCCACAGGCTGGCTGTGCATTGCGTGAAGAAATACTTCCTTATGTTTGTTTTAAACCTACTACCTATTAATTTCATTGGGGCACCCCTGGTTTGTGAGTTATGTGATGGGGTAAATAACACTTCCCTATTCGCTTTCTCCACAGCAGTCATGATTTTGTAGACTCTATCATATCCTCCCTTAGTAGTCTCTTTTCTAAGTTTGAGTCCCGTTTTTTTAATCTCTCCTCAAATGGAAGCTTGTCCACACCCCTAATAATTTTTGTTGCCCTTCTCTGTACCATTCCCAATTCTAATACCCCTTGTTTGAGATGGGGTGACTAGAACTGCAAGCAGTATTCACGGTGTGGGTGTACCATGGATTTATATAGTGGCATTATGATATTTTCTGTTTTTATCTCTCCCTTTTGTAATAGCTCCTAACATTGGGTTAGCTTTTGTGACTGCCACTGCATGTTGAGCAAATATTTTCAGACAACTGTCCACAATAACGCCAAGATCTGTCTTGAGTGGTAACAACTAATTTAGACCCCGGCATTTTGTATCCATAGTTGGGATTATTTTTTTCCAATGTACATTACTTCACACTTATCAATATTGAATTTCATCTGCCATTTTGTTACTCAATCCCCCAGTTTTGTGAGATCTCTTTGCAGTCAGCTTTGGACTTAACTCTCAAGTAATTTTGTATCATCTGCAAATTGTGCCACCTCACTGTTTACCCCTTTTTCCAGATCATTTATGAATATGTTGAACAGCACTGGTCCCAGTACAGATCCCTGGGGGACACCACTCTCTCCATTCTGAAAACTGACTATTTATTCCTACCCTTTGTTTCTTATCTTTTAACCAGTTACTGATCCATGAAAGGACCTTCCCTCTTATCCCATGACTGCTTAGTTTGCCTAAGAGCCTTTGGTGTGGGACCTTGTCAAAGACTTTCTGAAAGTCCAAGAAAACTGTACCGACTGGATCATATACTTGTTGACCCCCCCTCAAAGAATTGTAATAGATTGGTGAGGCATGATTTCCTTCTACAAAAATTGTGTTGACTTCCCCCAATTTATCATGTTTATGTACCTGATAATTCTCTTCTTTACTACAGTTTCAACCAATTTGTCTGGTACTGAAGTTGAGCTTACCAGCCTGTAATTGTCAGGATCACCTCTGGGGCTTTTTAAAAAAAATCAGCATTACATTAGCTATGCACCAGTCATCTGGTACAGAGGCTGATTTAAGCAATAGGTTACATACCACAGTTATTAGTTCTGTGATTTCACATTTGAGTTCCTTTCAGAACTCTTGGGTGAATGCCAGCTGGTCCTGGTGACTTATTACTGTTTGTTTTAGCTATTTATTCCAAAACCTCCTCTATTGACACCTCAGTCTGAGACGGTTCCTCAGAATGGCTCAGGTGTGAGGATCTCCCTCACATCCTCTGCAGTGAAGACTGATGCAAAGAATTCATGTAGCTTCTCCACAATGGCCTTGTCTTCCTTGAGTGCTCATTCATGACCTCAAACATCCAGTGCCCTCATTGATTATTTGGCAGATGGGCTTCCTGCTTCTGAGGTGCTTAAAACAATTGCTGTTCGTTTTTGTGTCTTTAGCTAGTTGCTCTTCAGTCTTTCTTGGTCTGCCTTAGTACGCTTTTACACTTGGCTTGCCAGAGTTTATGCTCTGTTTTATTTTCCTCACTAGGATTTGACTTTCAGTTTTTAAAGGATACCTTTTTACCTCTAACCACCTCTTTTACTCAGCTCTTTAGCCATCACAGCATGTGTTTTGGTTCTCTCACTGTTCTGTTGTATTATCTCTGCGGTGTACATTTAGTTTGAACCACTGTCGTGGTGTTTTAAAATAGTGTCTATGCAGTTTGCAGGAATTTTCCCCCTTGAGACTGTCCCTTTTAATGTCCATTTAATGAACCTCCTCCTTTTTGTGTGGGGTTCCCCTTTTGGACATGAAAGGCGACTGTGATGGGTTTCTGAGGCACTTTGAGGATATTACACTGGGGCCGCTAGCACTGAGCGGTTCAGCAGCAGTCACCTTTTGGACCAGACTCTGTGCTCCGCTTGAGAGAACGTGGAGCACCTGGACTACAGCTGCTATGGGCACCACCGCAGCATGTCCACACTGAGCTTGTTCGTTTTCAGGTTCCCATTTTTCAGAGAAATATCAACATTTCCCATGGAAAATTTGGACAAAAATGACTTGTTTAATTTGTGTAGAAATTTGCCATAGAAAAATAACCTGCTTTCCAACGAGCTTTAATTAACACACTTCCCCCGATGTGTCTGCCAGGGCGCCCGGCTTCCTGGCTGGCCCAGTTCCCTCAGCCACTGAATCGGCACAGTGAGAAACCTGTCGCAAACTGGGAGCCCACTCCTGCCTCTCTTGCATATCTGAAGCTTTTATTGGCTTCAGTGAGTTTTACTTCCACCCGGAACCCAGGACTAGGGCCCTCATCTCTTAGCCCCTCACCTCTCAGGCCGTTCCCATGCTGGGGCTGGCTTGGTTTATTTGGTCTGCAAAAGACTCTCCATAGGAATTCTGAAAATCTGGCTTTATCTCTTCAAAAGAGCTCAGGCCTAGATTTCTAGTGCTTGGCACCCTTCACTGGGGCCAGATTTCCCAGAGAGCCCTGCACCGACCATACTCAGTGGGCGGAGCCCCTAAGCAAATCGAGCCACTCATTTTGGTGCCTCCCTGGGAGTGGTGTTGGAAATTCTGGTCAGAGCACCCTTCAAGCCCCGGTAAGCGGGAAAAGGCCAGTCGATTGTCCCCCTGCATTTCCCAGGAGCTCTGGTGAGATTGGCCCCTGTGGTAAGTCCCTTGTGTCTAGTCCAGCCTAGCATTATATCAGCTGCTGCCCGTGCATTATCGAGCAGTGCCTCTTGAAAGCCCCTGGCTGCACTGTCTAGAGAGCCGTCCTGCCTGGGGAATGAATGACTGTAGTGCCTCGAGGGTGCTGTCATGTCTTGGTGATAGGCATGGTATGAACACCTAGAGCGGGGGTAGCCTGGGGTCATGGCTCTGGGGAGGGTCACACGCCGGTGTCAGGGTCAGTGACCAAGCTGCATTGGTAGGTGAGGTGTGTGTGTCCTGCTCTGGGGAAGGCTGTGAAGCACTGGCATGGTGGATCTGTTACCTGCCCTCCCTGCCTCGCCCTCCTTCTCTCCTCTCCTCTCCACTCCGCTCACCTGGTGAACAGGGGATGTTTCCTCTTGAGTTTCCATTGGCAAATGCTTTGCCTCCCCTTCCCGCTGCAGTGGGACACAAAGGGGAGCCAAGCCAGCTAGCCTGGGAGCTGCAGCAGGGCCATGTGGGGGGGAAGCCTGGCCGCTCATCCAGGCAGCCAGCTCTGTCCCCTCTGCACAGCTTCCACATGGCTCAATGGCCACACAAGCAGCAGGGATGTGGCCAGCAGAGGAGCTGCCTTGAGTGGTAGGTCATCGCAGCTCCAGGCATTGCTAAAGAGCTGCAGCCAAAGCTGCTGGAAGCCATAGATCTCCCTCCTGGAGCAGTCTCAGCACAGTTGCCGGCATCACGGCTACTGGCCAGACAGCGCTGCCGTGGCCAGTGGGGTTGGAGGGAGAGTCCACGCAGATCCCCCTCCAGGGCTTCTGCTAGCCCTTCTCTTGGTCCCATGGATTCACAGATTCGAAGGCCAGAAGGGACTGCCATGATCCCTAATCTGGCCTCCTGTCTAACCCAGGCCAGAGAGCTGGGGGACGTGCAGACTCCTGGTCCCTATTTATTCCCCTGTCCACTGGGAGGTGAACATGGGGAGCTTTCTGATTCCCAGGGCCCTTTTACACTACTCACTCTGGGGATCTGGGGCCAGTGGGCTGATGTCTCTTAGGGCATATCAGGAAGCAAACGAGGGCAGCAGAAGCCGTGTCTGTTTAACCCCCCTCCAGCTTGAGCATCCCTGACACACATCACACTGCTGCAGGCCTTGCCCCTTAGCTCCGGAAAGTCAGACTCATTGCTACGTCGTCTGTCAAGGGCCCTGAGCCATGGACGCTTCCCAGTCGGGTTGGATCTTCAGCTGGAGCATTCGGTGACAATGCACGTCTGGGGGGCCCAGACCAGGCCAGCGGGATGGCAGAGAAAGTCAGGGTGCCCCTGCTTCAGCCACAAGCACCTAGGGAGACAACTGGCTGCTCTGGGGTTCATCTGGTTTCTGTGGATTGAAGCTGCCCCATGGCAGTTTGAGGGGGGTGCGGGGAGACAGAATTTGAGCTGCAGATCCTGTTAAACTCCAGACTAACAGGGAACCACAGCAACTCCTGTTAACAAGACTCAGACCCCACCTTCAGCAGCATCACTCACTCCCTACCCTTGTCCTTCACAATGGCCCCAGGTGAAGCAGCTGCGGGGCTCTGTTGTTCCACAGTGCATGGCCCTTTCAGGAGCACTTTATTACTATTATTATTATTAGTCTCCTCCTCCCTGAACACCTCTGATTGTTAAGCTACAGGGTCTATCATGTAACCCAGGGGTTCTCAAACGGGGGGTTGGGAGGTTATTACATGGGGGGTCGCTAGCTGTCAGCCTCCAGCCCAAACCCCGCTTTGCATCCAGCATTTATAATGGTGTTAAATATGGTAAAAAAGTGTTTTTAATTTATAAGGGGGGGGTCACACTCAGAGGCTTGCTATTTGAAAGGGGTCACCAGTAGCAAAATTTGAGAACCGCTGATGTAGCCAGTGAGGTACATACGCAGGGTAAGACACCTGGCCTGGTGGAGCTGTGTGCCGGGCTGTAGCTCTGGAGACATGGGGTTAATTCCCAGCTCAGCCGCAAATGCCTGTGGCTTTAGGCAAATCATGTGATCTACCCTGTTTCCCAGTTCCCGCTCCTCTCCCCGCCCCCCCAGAGCGGCCAAGAGTAGTCCCAGAGTGGGGCCAGTCCTCCCACTGGGGCTAAATCCATGAGTGGCTGTGGTGCTGTGGGGCCATGTTACATACCTCGCTCAGCCTTGCCTCCTAAAAGGTAGACAGCAGACTGAAGATGGTCGTCTCAGCTCTTGCCCAAATGATCTCCAGGGACACATGGCCCTTTGTGGTTACACTCACCAAATCCAAGTTAGCCCACTGCATGGTAGTTCCCACGTGCACACATCCGTTTGTGCTCCTGTATATGAGAGGGTTTCTGCACCATCTAATGTTCTTCATGGGAATGTCTGCTTGGGTCATGGCACACCCTTGGGTGTGGCAGTGCATTGCCAGGGCAATCATAGGCGCCAACTTCTGCTCCCGCCGGTGGGTGCTCGACCCCACTCTACCCCCGGCCCTGCCCCGGCTCCACCCCTTCCATGAGGCCCCGGCCCTGCCCAGCCCCCATTCCAACCGCTTCCCCAAAGTCCCTGCCCCAACTCTGCCCCCTCCCTGCCCCTATTCCGACTCCTTCCCCAAATCCCCACCCCGGCCCTGCCTCCTTTCCTGAGCACGCCACATTCCCGCTCCTCTCCCCGCCCCCCCAGAGCGGCCAAACAGCTGTTTGATGGCAGCCGGGCAGGAAGCACTGGGAGGTAGGCGGAGGAGCGGGGAGGCGGTGCACTCAGGGGAGGAGGCGGAGGAGGAGGAGGTGGGGCAGGGGAGTAGGGAAGTTTGACTGCCGGTGGGTGCAGAGCACCCACCAATTTTTCCCCATGGGTGCTCCAGCCCTGGAGCACCCACAGAGTCGGCGCCTATGAGGGCAGTATTGATCTGCATGGAGAGCTGGCCTCATCCTTTCACCTCCTTCAGCAAGCAGCTATGCCTTGTGGAGCATCCTGGACACAGGATTTAGTGAGAGGAGGGCGGCCTTTCCCCAGTAACTGCTGACCTGTGCTGTTGTTCTTCCTTTATTGTCCAACAGGGATGGGGAAAGGACAGCACAGGATGCCCTCAAAGGATGAGCTCGTCCAGAGATATAACCGAATGAACACCATCCCTCAGGTAACCGGCGGTATTGCTTGCTGGGCCTTGTCCCTGGAACCCCAGCCATGCACAGCCTCTGTTTGTCCTTCTACCCTCACATCAGCCACAGGGGTATGTGCAAGACTGGCTTGTGTCATATCTGAGATGTGTTTGTGCAATCACTGTTTTTCTGTGCCTGAGGGGAGGGAATGTTGCCAAGTGGTTAGAGCAGGCGACTGGGGCTCAGGGCTCCTAGGTTTTGTTTGCTGTTCTGTTGGTCTTTTGGTAAGGGCCATAACTGCTTAGTATTGGCCCAACTCTGGTCCCATTGATGTCAATGGGCAGTCAACTTCTGACTCTGAGGGTCAACTTCTGAAAACCCCACCTTCTGTGCCTCAGTTTACCCATCTATAAAATGTGTACACATCTATAAAATGTGTATAGTCAGCCTCACCTACTTCCCTGGACTTCCACATCTGGAGACCTGGCTTTCTACATCTATCACAGATGTTTGGTGGGATTTATTCTAGCTCCTAGTGACCATTTTCGCAAAGCATGAAGCTGATCATGTGTCCTGAGACAATTTGGCCCCATAAGTGCCGACTCCATGGGTGCTCTGGGCCTGGAGCACCCACTGGGAAAAATTGGTGGGTACTCTGCACTCACTGGCAGCTCCCCACCCCACCACCCCGCCCCAGCTCACCTCTGCCTCCACTCCGCCGCCTCCCCTGAGTACACCGCTGGGTCCTGCTTCTCCCCCTTTCCTCCCAGCGCTTGCGCCGCAAAATAGCTGTTTTGCGCGGCAAGCCTGGGAGCGAGGGGGGAGGAGGGGGTACGCGGCAAGCTTAGGGGAGGAGGCGGGGCCGGGGCAGGGATTTGGGAGGGATCCAATAAGGGCAGGGAGTGGGGGCGGGGGTGGGGGCGCAAGCACTCTCCGGCCCTGACAAAAGTTGGTGCTTGTGTTTGGCCTAATTAGCGGCCTCCGGGGGAAGGACCAGACTTGGGACAGCAGGAGCTGTGAGACAAGGCTGGGCTGCATTGGCAGAGCTGTGTGCGTGTGTGTGTGTGTGTGTGTGTGTGTGTGTGTGCAAAAATCACATTGGGGAAGAAAGCTACTAGAGCCTCGCTTGGGGTGTGCTCCACTGGGATCCGATTTGGATATGGATAGAGGCCTCTTTAATTTTTTTAATGAAGTAAATACTAATGGGAATTGTGTGATCATGGGAGACTTTAACTTCCCGGATATAGACTGGAAGACAAGTGCTAGTAATAATAATAGGGCTCAGATTTTCCTGGATGTGATAGTTGATGGATTCCTTCACCAAGTAGTTGCTGAACCGGCCAGGGGGGTTGCCATTTTAGATTTGGTTTTGGTGAGTAGTGAGGACCTCATAGAAGAAATGGTTGTAGGGGACAAACTTGGTTCGAGCGATCATGAGCTAATTCAGTTCAAACTAAATGGAAGGATAAACAAAAATAGATCTGTGACTAGGGTTTTTGATTTCAAAAGGGCTAACTTTCAAAAATTAATTAGGGAAGTGGATTGGACTGAAGAACTTGTGGATCTAAAGGCGGAGGAGGCCTGGAATTACTTCAAGTCAAAGTTGCAGAAACTATCAGAAGCCTACATCCCAAGAAAGGGGAAAAAATTCATAGGCAGGAGTTGTAGACCAAGCTGGATGAGCAAGCATCTCAGAGAGGTGATTAAGAACAAGCAGAAAGCCTACAAGGAGTGGAAGATGGGAGGGATCTGCAAGGAAAGCTACCTTATTGAGGTCAGAACATGTAGGGATAAAGTGAGAAAGGCCAAAAGCCATGTAGAGTTGGACCTAGCTTTTTCTGTAATATACAAGTACCTGATGTCACACCTGCATGCTGGGGGATATGGGTGGGCCCAGACACATGTCCAGGGTGGTGTTTTACACAGGTTGGACCTGCGTTAAGATAGGAGGGAAGCCTTGAGAGCTGTGCAAGCATGGCTCTGGGAGGGGATCCACACCCCCAACACAGATCTGTACCTCCCTTTGCCCCAAATACCTAATTCATCCCTGTGAAACACTGAGGCCTGGTCTACACTGGCGGGGGGAGGGAAATCGACCTAAGTTATGCAACTTCAGCTACGTGAATAACGTAGCTAAAGTTGATGTACTTAGATCTACTCACCTTGGCGTCTTCACTGCAGTGAGTCGACAGCTGACACTCTCCCGTCGACTCCACCAGCGCCTCTTGCTCCGGTGGAGTACCAGAGTTGACGGGAGAGTGCTCGGCAGTCGATTTATCACGACTAGATGCAATAAGTTGACCCCCGCTGGGTCGATCGCTGCCCGTCGATCCTATGGGTAATGTAGATAAGCCCTGAGTAGAAATACACTGGGTATCAATAAAACTCTCCCCCCAGGAAAAAAGTTTTAAACACAGCACATCTTGTTTCAGCAACTCCTCAGTTTCCTCCACTCCCAAGACCCCTCAACAAATCTCCATTTTCTGTTTTAAGCTGCAGATAGGTGTGTTCCTGAGCCACTGCCCCTTCCTTGTTGCTTGTCCATTTTTCTTCTTTGCAGTGTTGTTGTAGCCGTGTTGGTCTCAGGACATGAAAGACACAAGCTTCTCCCTTCCACCAACAGAAATTGGTCCAATAAAAGATATTACCTCATCTACCTTCCACCCTCTTTTGAGTGGCCAGTCCGTCTGGTGATATCTCTGATATAATTGTCTTTTTCCTCCGCCTGCGATTTTGCATGAGAGTCAGAGTGTTGGAAGTGAGTCACTTGGGGATCAGCAAGCTATGTGTCCACAAAAAGATGTTCCTTTACTTAGGATCTCAAGTCACTGTGCTCCCTTTAAGTTAATCTTTCTCATCACCTCTTTGTTCATAGGTTTCATTATCCAACTAACTAAACATTCTTCTAGAAAACCAGAATTCAAATGTTCTGAGTTTGATCTGTGTCCTTTGTAAGTGTCCAGCTCTCACATCCATACAGGAGAGCTGACCATATGTAGCCCTTCAGCAATCAAGTGAAAATATTCAGTTTTGAGGACCAGCCACTAGAAGGCATGCAACACACTTTTCTTTTATCCGGATAAAACTCCATATTTTACGCACTCTCTCCAAACAGTTTGTACAACTGTTTCCTATGACAGCAGGAGAACAGTGGTAACAGGATTCCTTGGTTCTGCTCCACAAAACACTTCCAGCCCCATGGACAGGAAGTTTCATTGGCCAAAAACCAACCAAGCAAGAATATACATTTCAATAAGAAGGCACAGGGGAACAAAAGGAGACAAAGGTCTTAGCTCTTAACTCTTTAGGGCACTGAAGGAACTGTGGGCCAGGTAGAACTGTAAACTCACAAGGCCCTTTGCTACATCTACGCTCCAAGACACTTTGAATTCCAAAGGAGTTACTGTAATATCAATGCCCCACATGCACACTACATTCACTTTTCATTGGGAGCATTATTTCTGTGGACCTTTTGAGATCTGCAATAGATCCGGCAGACTTTACAGCAACATGAAACATTCTGTTCAAAGAGGAAGTTCAAGATTGCCATCTAATATTAAAGTATGAAAATACAGTTATGCAAAGGTAGGTTACAGTCCTAAAAAGCTAAGTGTTACCCCGCTGCCTCCGCAAGTGAGAACTGTGCTGGAGCTTAAACTGTGAGTCAGCTCCCTGCCACCCAGCCTGCCCACCTCACCGCACACTCCTCAAGGCTCTGCCCATGTAAGCCTTGCCTTGCTGGGACCCATCAGTGAACCCCAGTTGTCGCGCTCCCTGGAGTCATCTCCCTGCAGTGTCAGCCCCTCTCACTGGACACTTGCATTTGCTGCCTCCAAAGAGACAGTGTGCACACCAGTTGGTTAGTTTAGCTGAAGACTCGCCCTTCACTTCCATGCACAGCACTGAGATGGTTTGGTAAGAAAACAAGAATATGTTGATTAATACAGAACAGAGATTTAAGTGATACTAAGCAAGAGGCTTGTCTGGTTACAAGCGAAACAAAAATAAAACCCGCTTTCTAGGGTTGAAAGCATAACAGATCACAAGCTTGGTCTCAGGCAATTTCTCACTTATAATCTCTTCTCAGAGACTTCAACCCCCATGGCTGAAGATCCACCTTTCACAGATTCCCAGGGCTCTGTCCTCGTTTAAGTGATAGATACTTATAATGTCTTTGTGCTGCCTCTTACAATTTCCAAAGTCTATTGTCTTTGTCTCAAGAGCCAGAAAGACTTCCTGGGTGTGCAGACTTGGAGCCCCGGTGAACTCACTGAGCGCCTTCCTCCATTGCCTGTTAGCTTGATGGCTTTGTTCACCTGATATGTAAATGTACTTTCATTTTCCTCTGCTGATCATCAAGCCAGTCAAACATTCCTTTGCCTAGGGCAGGCTGGGGTCATGCTCTGTCTCCCAAACACATTTCCAGCACACATATACAACTCTTTGTACCCTACCTGTACATGCATCATGCAATGACTTTCAGGACCAACATGTTACCAGTTTACGTATGATACCTTACGTGATACCTTTTAGAGACATGTTAGGACAACAGCATGTTGGGGTGGTGAGTGTGTCAGGCCTGATACAATTTACGGTGTAGTGGGCCCTCTGCCAGGGGGCATTGAGGGGCTCTTGGGATCCCACCCTCAGATGTGGGCTGGGCCACAGAGCTCAGAACTCAACAAATTACTGAGAACAACAAATGAAGAAAGCAGGGCTGGGGTCCAGCCTGGGTTGGGTTATCAGTGTTTATACCTCTGACATGGTCAGTATTCTTCACTGTGATTGGCTGCTCCTATGGAGTTTGGACTATGAAAGGGACAGGGCTGGCCCCTTCAAAGGCAGAGTGGTGACACAACCTGAGTGGGATGCCAGGCAGATCATGGTAACCCAGACTTTGTGGTTTGTTTGCAGACTCGATCCATCCAGTCCCGGTTCCTGCAGAGTCGGAATCTAAACTGTATAGCACTTTGTGAAGGTAAGAGGTAGAGGAAGGGGTGTCCTCACACACCGCCTTGAGGGCCCTGGGACCCCAGGAATGGCACTGGAACAAGGTGGGGTTGGAGTGGTGGGTGCCAGAAACCAGGCTGCCTATTGCCTGTTCTCTGAGCTCAGACTGTCGCAGCGTGCCATCCCTTCCTGCTGGGTTTTGCAGCTTGTGGCCTGCTCGCTCCATGCCCTCGTGGGATGCGCTGCCCATTCACCACCTTGGCTGTCCATATGCTGGTGTCCCCTCTCTGCCACACACATGGCACTGTGTGTCCCAGGCCTTGTGCTGTGGTGGGCATTGTTCCTCCCTCTATGTAGGAGTATCTGGGCCGGTCTGGGGGCTGGTCCATGGCTGGAGGGGACCCATACCACATTGTCTCTGGTGGAGCTTTAGCTGGCGTCACTCACTCAGGCGTCTTCTCCTGGAGACCCAGAAGGATGGTGTTAGCCCTGGCTCCTCCCCAGCAGCTTTCCCCGGTAGCAGTGAGGGTTGCAGGGGCTCTGCTACATCACATCCCCCCCTTTCAGCATGGCTGTGAGGCTGTAGGGGGCAGTGAGCCACCATGAGCTGCGTCTGACAGGTAGGTCTTGGTCTCTTCTGTGCTGAGCCCAGTGGGTTCAGTGTCTTTGCTTTTCTCAGTGCCTGGCTGGGGAAAGGGCTTGGGGAATGGTGCTCTGGCTGGGGCTCACTCTCGGTCAGCTGATGGTTGGGCTCTGGCATGGATGGGGCCTGCCCATGGGATCTGGGTGGATCTCTGGTGGCTTCTGGGCACAGCTCCAGTGGCTGATACTGGCTTTTTAAAGCCCTGCCTGGTGGGACTGCCTGGCTGGGATCCTGCCTCCTCCCCAGGCCCCCATGTAATAGTTGAGATCAGCAGATTGGCTCTTGTGAACTCTCCCCAGAGCCAGACACCCTGCCTGGGCATTTCCAGTGCTGGGCCCCTATGCTTTGGAATTGGCTTCTGCCCTCTACTGGGTCTGAGCCCACTGACTCCTGGGGCTGGTGTGATGCCTGCCTGTCCCCTCCTGGGGTTGGTGGATGGGGGGTGGGGGTGAAGGGTTTTGATCTTCACATTGGGCAGGAAACAGTTTTCTTGCCCTGTGAAACTTTGGCCTTTAGAAATGTCTTCCAGTTCTAAATTGGGATGAAAAGTCAAAACTCGAAAAAGTTATGCATCGGAAATCCGAAAGCGTTTTGGTTTGACTCAGTCGAACGTTTCATTGCATTAAGTCAAACCATTTTGCCCACTTTTCTTTTTTGATTTTTTACTCTAGCTGGCTTGAGTTTTGAAATGGACAGGACTTTCCAACTGGAGGAACCAGAATGTTTTGTTCTGAGAAATGTCAAAATGGGCATTCTGACCGTTCAGAAACGGTTTTTCCAAATATGCTTTGGAGTTGAAACATTTGTCCAAACTTTCCCACCAGAAGTTTCGGTTTCAATGATTCTGCATTTTATTTATTTATTTTTGACAAAGAATGTTGAACTGAATCAATCCCAGCCAGCTCTAGGCTCTTTGCTTGTAGCCTAACTCCATTTCCATCAGCTCTTTCCTCGCTTGTCTGGCTGGACTGCACTCTCTTTGGAGCAGGGCCTGTCTCTTGCTGCGTGTTTATACAGTTCCTAGCACAACGGGGTCTTGATCTCAGCGTGGGCTCCTAGATGATCCAACAGTACAAATAATAATTACGATATTCAGTTGATGTTAGTCAACTCCTTTTTGTGTGTTTTGAAACATAATTGTATAGGCAGGTCCCTTGTTTTGATCCTAATGATTCCTAGAGTTTTTAAGGCCAGACCATTAGATCATGTTGTCCAGCAGTTCTCAACCAGGGACCTGGGGCCCCCTGGGGGGCCTTGAGCAGGTTTCAGGGGGGTCTGCCAAATAAACCAGAGAGCTGGGCCGGCTTTAGATTTGCTGGGGCTCAGGGCAGAGAGCCAAAGCCCGAGCTACCCGGGGCTGAAGCTGAAGCCCGAACAACTTAGCTTTGTGGGGCCCTGTGTGGCATGGGGCCTAGGGAAATTGCCCTGCTTGCTACCCCGTAATGTTGGCCCTGGCTTTTAATCTACTGGATATGCAGGAAACCAGTTGTTGTGGCACAGGTGGGCTGTGGAGTTTTTATAGCATGTTGTGGAATGAAAAAGATGGAGAACCTCCTGCATAACAAATCTCACCCCGTTACTCCTGTTGAGTGGGCCCACTTCAATGGCTTAGTTAAATGAGGTGACTGATGGGAGCGCAGCCAGGCTGCAGTAACAGGTGTTAACAGGACAGTGGGTAGATAACGGTGCAGTTCCCTGTGCCATTCCACAGCACCATGGGTGTCCTTGGCATGGTCACCCCATTATCCCTTGGTGGCTGTGCCTCTCCCAGCACTCCTGTCTGGCCTGGGGAAGCAGCCCTTCCCCCCCCACAGCCTGGTGTGGCAGGACAGACATGCCCAGGGACAGCCCCATGGGACTGGTACCCAAGGCAGGGCCCCAGCTTTGTGTGTGAGCCGCAAGGGCCGTTGGCGCCTTCTGACGCCTCCTCCCTTTGCAGTGATCACCTCGAAGGATCTCCAGAAGCACGGGAACATCTGGGTGTGCCCGGTCTCGGACCATGTCTGCACCCGCTTCTTCTTTGTGTGAGTGCCGGGGCGTGAGTGGGGAGGGGCCCTGCTCGTGTGGTGGGGGCAGCTCTCTCTTTGGGGATGGGACGGCCCAAACAGCACCAGGACAGCCCAAACAGCAAGAGCATCGCGAACCATTAGTCAGCATCTCGACTCAGTCCCATGCGGGAGGGGAGAGGAGAGGAGAGCACAGTGCCCCTCACTGCCCCTGCCCCCCAGGGAGGTTGCCAGGGCCCAGCAGCATCTTGTGTGCCACCAAATGGATGCTCGAGTGCAGCCTCCAGCCCCACTGCCCCCTCCTTCCACGCCAGGCCCCCTGTTCATTACCGCTTCCTCTCCCGATGGGATCCCCTGCCCCAGCCAGCCAGAGCGGCACTGGCATGCAGCCGTCAGCAGTGGGAGGAAGGTGAACCCCAGAGCCTGCTCCCCTTGGCTCTGCACAGCTCAGGGCCTGGGGCCTGCCAGCCGGGAGCACAAGGGGGCGCTGGGTAGGAAGGTGCTGGCAGGCAGAGCCCCTGGCCCAGTGCTCAGCACCAGCATCACAGTAGAGGGGTCTGCACTCTGTCACCAGGGGGCCAGCCCTGCCGAGACAGACCCGTCTCAGAGCAGAGAGCTACGGCCAGACACTGACACCCAGGCCGCTGGTGCCTGCAGCCTGGCTCTGCTCTGGGAGGGGTGTTAGCAATGGAATGGCTCCCAGTCTGTGGCCCCACTGGCAAACCTGGGTGGTTTAGCTGGGGCTCCCAGCGCTGTGACTAGGGGCCCATTTCCCTCCTGCCAGCCCCTCGCCCAGATACAGAGTGAAGTGCCTATCTTTGCAATCAGAGACCTCCCCCTCTGTCCGAGGGCCTGGAGACCCCAGCTCTGCTCCCCTTGATGGGGGTGTGGCCCTGGGAGGACAGACCTGGGGGTGGGGGTGTTATTGCTGGAGCAGGGACATGCTGGCGATGGACACTCTGGGGAGCTCTGGGTAACCTCTGAGTCCCCCCTCATAGTGCTTTCCCTGCCTCGCCCCTCCCAGGTACGAAGATGGACAAGTAGGAGACGCCAATATAAACACTCAGGACCCCAAGATCCAGAAGGAAATCATGCGCGTGATTGGAACTCAGGTCTACACAAACTAAGGGGCGCCTGCGGAGCCCACACTATTCACACGGGGAGCCGCTCCCCCTGGCACAGGCAGAGAGGAGCCGGGTGTCCGAGGCTGCCAAAAGGAGCAATGAAAACACTGGCTTCAGGAAGGAAACAGACAGGTGTGGGGGTGGAGTGAGGGCCTCAGCATCCTCCTGGGAGCAGGACTCTGCCGCTTCAGCCAGCACCACATCTGGAGGACAATGGCTCTGTTGCCATATCTGGGAAGCAGAGGTGCGACTGTGGGTCAGGTTTCCCAGCTGGTTCCCTGCTGTCTGTGCATAGATGTATAGCAGAGGACGCGGCCAGGGCGGGCTTGTTGATATTTTCCCATTCTCCCCCCGCCCTGATCTCCCTGTATCCCAGCACTGAGCAGGAGCCATGGGCACGTCCTGCCTCATGTGCCTGCCCTTGGACCTGGGCGTTGCCCCTGGGCACGTGGCCGTTCTCAAGTTTACAGCAATGACATTTTTAACAACAATAAAAACAAAGCAAAAAAAAAAAGGTTTTAGCTTATTAAAGTTCTTTAAAAAACTGTCCCTGACTCTGCCTTTGTGAATGGGCCTCTGATGTGAATGTTGTGGCCACCATGAGTGGTTGGGCCATACAGAGGTAACAGCCTACTACTGCAGCCAGTTAGTGGCTTTGCTGGTTTAGTTCCAGTGGTAGCAGGCTGAGCTTCAGCGTGGAAGCTCCTGTGCTTCTGAAGTGCAGCGGGGGTGGTTACACTGGCGTTTGAACCCAGGGGCTGGTTGTGTCACTGTAAGTAGCAGGATGGTACGGTGCCGATTGGTCTGATCAGAGGAACAGCTGCAGTAGGTTCAGTGGCTTTGCTCGGTGGCTCATCCATTCACCAGAGCCTTGCTGGGACAGTGCAGTGAGACTTCCGTGGCACAGCAGTGCCAGCCACAAGTTATGATGAGCTGTGAGCCCAGCTCTCTGCCCAAGGGGCACCAAGAATGGTCAAGCCATAGCCAGGAAGGCTGAGCTGTTTGTTATTCAGCCAGACTCTGTCAGCCTCCCAGGGGGCAGTCATGATTGAGGAAAGTGCCACTGATTGTGTGCCAGCCATATTAGCAGCAGCATCAGAGACTCTAAGCCCCAGGCCATGCTGCTTGGAGAGTGGCCGAGCAATCGCCAGGGGAACATCCCTGGGGCAATGCCTGTGCCCTGTAGTGCAGCCAGGCACTTTGATGGGAGTGCAAGGCGGCTCTGCAATGGTGCCTCAGGGGCTCTCTTTGCTCGGTGGCTTTGCTACAGAATGTGTTCCGTTTACAAACCCTGCAGTGACTTTGGCGAGGGCCATAACCGCAAGCCCCACCAGCCAGCTTCCCCACTGCCCCACTGACGTCAGTGCAGAGTGTTGACTGCTTGCCCCTGCTTTGCCCTGGTGTTGAGACGGACGCAAGAAGCAGAGGCACTGGGGCAGCATCGAGCTGGACTCTTCCACTCAGGCCCACCAGCACTGAGTGAGGGCTGCCTGCTCTGGCAAGGATGCCCCCGGTGGGAAGGCCTCTCCAGAGCTGGCATGGCCCTGCAGGCTAGGAGAGGAAGAATGGCTTTCGTCTGCAAAGCTCTAACATGCACCCATCGCACGGGCAGCTTTGAAACTAATCAGCTCCTGGCACCATCAGCAAGTCCCAGAGCTTCAGCCCCTGCCCCACCTTAGGCAAATGCACAGCCCTGTTCCCAGGCCTTCCCTAGGGTCCCAGTTCAGCCGGCGTGTGAAGCTTTAAGCACTTGAACTGTCCCATTAAATTCACTGGCACGAGTCACATCGCACACTAGGGATCCCGCTCATAGGTGTTGACTTTTGTTTTTGCTGGTGGGTGCTTTTGAAGAGGTGTGTGTGTTTGGGGGGGCACTCTGCCAGTTTTGCGGGGAGGCTATTTTCAGCATATTTATATACCTCTTTCATATTCTAGTTATCGAATATGTCTATCACTGGTATCTTTACTATTTTAATAATGATTAAATTGATATGAACTACATAATTACATTATCATGAATTACAGTATATTAAGATCATTGCAATCACAAGCTGTCTTCATGAACGTCCCACTTTAAAGACATAATGTCTCACTGTAGTTTTCTGGATGAAACTCTCAGCAACCTTATTTACATCTAGGTTCCCTGGTATTATTTTGATGCACGTTAAGGACAGCTATATTATTCAGTTGTGTGTGTCTCCCTGATGACTGGAGAGAATTTTTAAATCTTTTGAAGCAGGAGAATGAGCATGCTACAATTCAGGGTGATACAGGCACAGTGAGAAGGATTCTTATGAATTTGCAGAGCTCTAGAAACATAGCGCTTCCAGAGTACCACAAATGACTCCAAGATCTCTTTCTTGATGGGTAACAGTTTATTTAGGCACCATCATTTTATATGTGTTGTTGGGATTATATTTTGCCAAGTGCATTGCTTTGCATTTAACATTGAATTTCATCTGCCATTCTGTTGCCAAGTCACACAGTTTTGTGAGATCCCTTTGTAACTCTTTGCAGTCTGGTTTGGACTTAACTACCTTGAATAATTCTGTATCATCTGCAGACTTTGCCACCTCACTGTTTACCCTTTTTGCAGATGATTTATGAATCTGTTGAACAGCATTGGTCCCAGACCAGTATAAGCCCTTCAGGGCCAAGTGATGGTGGTGGAGAACACCACTATTTACTTCTCTCCATTCTGAAAATGGACCATTTATTCCTACGCTTTGTTTCCTATCTTTTAACTGGAGTGCCTGGGAATGCTTTCAGGGTAATCTAAAAAAGGAGTACTTGTGGCACCTTAGAGACTAACAAATTTATTTGAGCATAAGCTTTCGTGAGCTACAGCTCACTTTACTTCACTGCCACTCAGATGGGCACAGTGGTGCGACACATGCAGGCTGCTCTTTGGCCACCTGTACCCTACAGCATCCTTTGCTCGAGGGAACATGGCTCCTTCCACACCACCTACCCTACCAGCCTTCAAGAATCACCAGCTGAAGGCTGTGGTGGAAATGGTGGTTATGTTTCCCCCTGGCCCTTCAGGCATCGCACTGTTGGACACAATCAGCCTCATGTGCTGGAACAGGCACCAAGGCTCCTTAGCGAGATGCAGACCAACTCTCAGCCGCCCCAAACCCTTTGCTCACCGTCACGCACCGTAGAGCAATAGCGAGCAGCGGTGCTGTCTAAAAAAACCCCCCACGCAGCGCTCGAATGGGAGCTCCCATTCCTAGAGTGTTTATGAAGGGGTGGGAGTCCCCAGCAGAGTTCTCCATCCCTGGAATCAATGCACCTCCCACCACCCAAAAAGGCTAAGCAGCTCGCAAGGTTATCGGTGGTTGGGCTCCTCCAGCCAGCCCCCAGCCCAACCGTATCTCCATCCATCCATATGGAAACACTCAAGTCTCTGCCCATGCTGCTTCCTCTAAAACAAGGAAGGCATCCGATGAAGTGGGCTGTAGCTCACAAAAGCTTATGCTCAAATAAATGTGTTAGTTTCTAAGGTGCCACAAGTCCTCCTTTTCTTTTTGCGGATACAGACAAACATGGCTGCTACTCTGAAACCTGAGGATAATCTAACAATCCTTAATTTCATTTCATGACAAGCCTTTTGTTATCTTAATTACCCTGCCCCTGGTTATAGACAAACTCCCTGCCCCAAGGGCAGAAGGTGTGAGCAGCATAGAACTCATCACATTCCACACTCAAGCTCTGATTCCTGGGTGCTGACTTAAGCTCCCACTCTTTTTTCCCCCTTTGGTGCTTGAGCCCCGGAGCACCCACGGAGTCGGCGCCTATGGTCCGGCTGCCCTGCCGCTGGGTTAGCCTCATCTGGCTGAGCATTCCCACAGCAACCCCTCCCTGACTTAGTGTGGCCTCAGTTTCTGCTCTGGCCCATGTGTGTCAGGGGCATGTCCCAGGGGTCTCTGTGCTGTACCGCTCCAGGGTCCTTTCCCTGCCATTTCCAGGAGAACCGGCTGCCCTGGGGGCACTGTGGCAGTGTGATCACTCCACAGATTTTGCCTGCATCCTCACTGCAGAGTGGGTGGGTTGCAGCTCAAGCTGAAGCAGAGCCTGGGTTCTTACACCCATCCAAGCATGCATGGCTTCAAAGTATAAGGGCTTGTCTACACGGGCACTTTACAGCGCTGCAATTTTCTTGCTTAGGGGTGTGAAAAAACACCCCCCCAAGTGCAGCAAGTTTCAGCGCTGTCAAGCGCCAGTGTAGACAGTGCCCGGGCGCTGGGAGCCGTGCCCCTCGTGGAGGTGGTTTTTCAGAGTGCTGGGAGAGCTCTCTGCCAGCGCTCTGCCGTGACTACACAAGGCAGCACTTTAATGTTCCCAGTGTAGACTCGCCCTAAGTAAGCACATGCCGGGGGAGGGGGGGGTGGCCATGGGCATGTGCACACACATGTAGTAGCGTGTGTGTGTGTGGGGGGGCAGGCAGAAATGTGTAGGAGCAGGGGCTAAGGCGTCAGTGTAGCCAGCCCCTTAAAGTCAGGTTTGACTATAGGCACTTGCTGCAGCCTTAGCCCCTGCTCCTACACATTTCTGCCTGCCCCCCCCCCCCATGCTACTACATGTGTGTGCACATGCCCAGGTGGGTGATCGGGTGGTGATGGATGCTAACCTCCAACTGCCCCCCAAGGAGTGGCTGATCTGACCCAGGGGAGAGGATAACATCCACCTGGACTGGCAGACTCTGTATCGGCTGGACACCGCAGTTCCAGCTTCTTGCTCCCCGCTGGCTGGAAGGTGCCATCTTCATTGCTGGATGCATTGGATTCCCACCTGCACCTTCCTGCCGTGTGGGGGTGGTGCCCAGCCAGGGCAGACACAGGGCAGCTCCGGGGGTGATGTCTAGTTGGCAGCCAGTATCAAGCGGAGTGCCCCAAGGGTTGGTCCTGGGGCCGGTTTTGTTCAATATCTTCATTAATGGTTTGGAGGATGGTGTGGATTGCACCCTCAGCAAGTTTGCAGATGACACTAAACTGGGAGGAGTGGTAGATACGCTGGAGGGGAGGGATAGGATACAGAGGGACCTAGACAAATAAGAGGATTGGGCCAAAAGAAATCTGATGAGGTTCAACAAGGACAAGTGCAGAGTCCTGCACTTAGGACGGAAGAATCCCATGCACTGCTACAGACTAGGGACCGAGTGCCTCGGCAGCAGTTCTGCAGAAAAGGACCTAGGGGTTACAGTGGATGAGAAGCTGGCGATGAGTCAACAGTGTGCCCCTGTTGCCAAGAAGGCTAATGGTATTTTGGACTGTATAAGTAGGAGCATTGCCAGCAGATCAAGGAATGTGATCATTCCCCTCTACTCGGCATTGGTGAGGCCTCATCTGGAGTACTGTGTCCAGTTTTGGGCCCCACACTGCATGAAGGATGTGGAAAAATTGAAAAGAGTCTAGTGGAGGGCAAGAAAAATTATTAGGGGGCTGGAGCACGATTTATGAGAAGAGGATGAGGGAACTGGGATTATTTAGTCTGCAGAAGAGAAGAATGAGGGGGGATTTGATAGCTGCTTTCAACTATCTGAAA